TGTATGATTTAGGGGCCCCGGAGCGTGCATTGAGTGATTTGTGGGGCCCCGGAGCGTGCATTGAGTGATTGAGGGGCCCCGGAGCGTGCATTGAGTGATTGAGGGGCCCTGGAGCGTGCATTGAGTGATTGTGGGAGCACCGGAGCGCCCATTGAGTGATTGTGGAGCCCCGGAACGTGCATTGAGTGATTGTGGAGCCCCGGAACGTGCATTGAGTGATTGTGGAGCCCCGGAACGTGCATTGAGTGATTGTGGAGCCCCGGAACGTGCATTGAGTTATTGTGGGGGCACTGGAGCCCGGCTGAATGCCGCCTGGAACTGTTTGTTCACTCTGGGGAGCGTGGCCAGCTAGTTGCCGCGTGCGCATGGAGCCGCGATCAGAATCACAAATCGGTTCGTTGTTGGTTTCGTTGAGGCTCCGTGCCATGTATTTACACTGCTTCCACATCACCGTTGATTGTCCTGCCGGAGCTGTGGTGGTAAACGTTAAAAGTTGCGTTCGAGACACGGTTAACACGTTCGTTTGGAATCTAGATTTGAAGTGTTTCGTGACTGCAGGGATCCATACTCTTTGGTTCTTTCGGTAAAGTCACGTAGTAGGTAGAAAATGCATTAAATCGCGACGTTTCGGGCGCAACACATGCGTCCGTCATCAGGTGGGACAACCACAGCAATAAACTAAGTTGCACCTGTGGTGGGTGTTACATTGGGGAAACGGAAAGACATATCTCGGACCGTGTTCGCGAGCACAAGTCAGATCTGAAACACGGCAGAACTAATTCCTCTGCCGTAGCTGACCATTGCTATAACGCTGTGGGCTCTCATGATATTGTTATTTTCGAGACCAAGGTACTCTGCAAATCTTCGGGCTGCTATCAAAGCTTTGTTTAGGAAGCCATCCAGAAATATAAACATAGACATAACTTCAATCGAGAAGATGGATACAAATTGAGCAATCATTGTAAGGACGTTATGAACCAGGTAAAACCTTCACTGCTTTATGGTGTTGCCTTCATATCCGCATCTCCAGTTTCATCAGACTCCAACCCCCAGCCCCGCCCACTTTTCTCCCCCCCTCCCCGGCATTTTGCCTTGCTCCTAATCCCTCTATCTCTCTGGCTCCTCCCCCCCCTTTATATCTCTCCTCTCTGGCTCCTCCCCCCCCCTTTATATCTCTCCTCCCTGGCTCCTCCCCCCTTTATATCTCTCCTCCCTGGCTCCTCCCCCCCCTTTATATCTCTCCTCCCTGGCTCCTCCCCCCCTTATATCTCTCCTCCCTGGCTCCTCCCCCCCCTTTATATCTCTCCTCCCTGGCTCCTCCCCCCCCTTTATATCTCTCCTCCCTGGCTCCTCCCCCCCCTTATATCTCTCCTCCCTGGCTCCTCCCCCCCTTTATATCTCTCCTCCATGGCTCCTCCCCCCCCTTTATATCTCTCCTCCCTGGCTCCTCCCCCCCTTTATATCTCTCCTCCCTGGCTCCTCCCCCCCCTTTATATCTCTCCTCCCTGGCTCCTCCCCCCCTTATATCTCTCCTCCCTGGCTCCTCCCCCCCCTTTATATCTCTCCTCCCTGGCTCCTCCCCCCCTTTATATCTCTCCTCCCTGGCTCCTCCCCCCCCTTATATCTCTCCTCCCTGGCTACTCCCCCCCTTTATATCTCTCCTCCATGGCTCCTCCCCCCCCTTTATATCTCTCCTCCCTGGCTCCTCCCCCCCTTTATATCTCTCCTCCCTGGCTCCTCCCCCCCTTTATATCTCTCCTCCCTGGCTCCTCCCCCCCCCCCCCCTTTATATCTCTCCTCCCTGGCTCCTCCCCCCCCTTTATATCTCTCCTCCCTGGCTCCTCCCCCCCCCTTTATATCTCTCCTCCCCCCCCCCTTTATATCTTTCCTCCCTGGCTCCTCCCCCCCCTTTATTTCTCTCCTCCCTGGCTCCTCCCCCCCCCCTTATATCTCTCCTCCCTGGCTCCTCCCCCCCCCTTTATATCTCTCCTCCCTGGCTCCTCCCCCCCCCCTTTATATCTCTCCTCCCTGGCTCCTCCCCCCCCCCTTATATCTCTCCTCCCTGGCTCCTCCCCCCCCCCTTTATATCTCTCCTCCCTGGCTCCTCCCCCCCCTTTATATCTCTCCTCCCTGGCTCCTCCCCCCCTTTATATCTCTCCTCCCCCCCTTTATATCTCTCCTCCCTGGCTCCTCCCCCCCCCCCTTTATATATCTCCTCCCTGGCTCCTCCCCCCCCCTTTATATCTCTCCTCCCTGGCTCCTCCCCCCCCTTTATATCTCTCCTCCCTGGCTCCTCCCCCCCCCCCTTTATATCTCTCCTCCCTGGCTCCTCCCCCCCTTTATATCTCTCCTCCCTGGCTCCTCCCCCCCCCTTATATCTCTCCTCCCTGGCTCCTCCCCCCCTTTATATCTCTCCTCCCTGGCTCCTCCCCCCCCCCCTTTATATCTCTCCTCCCTGGCTCCTCCCCCCCCTTTATATCTCTCCTCCCTGGCTCCTCCCCCCCTTTATATCTCTCCTCCCCCCCCTTTATATCTCTCCTCCCTGGCTCCTCCCCCCCCCCTTTATATCTCTCCTCCCTGGCTCCTCCCCCCCCTTTATATCTCTCCTCCCTGGCTCCTCCCCCCCCTTTATATCTCTCCTCCCTGGCTCCTCCCCCCCCCCCTTTATATCTCTCCTCCCTGGCTCCTCCCCCCCCTTTATATCTCTCCTCCCTGGCTCCTCCCCCCCCCTTTATATATCTCCTCCCTGGCTCCTCCCCCCCCCTTTATATCTTTCCTCCCTGGCTCCTCCCCCCCCCTTTATATCTCTCCTCCCTGGCTCCTCCACCCCCCTTTATATCTCTCCTCCCTGGCTCCTCCCCCCCCTTTATATCTCTCCTCCCTGGCTCCTCCCCCCTCTCTATCTCTCCTCCCTGGCTCCTCCCCCCTCTCTTACCTATATAGCCTCTTGTCACAGTAGCCCTTTAGCCCACTTCAGCAATTGTTTCTTGCCGTGGTTGTCCCACCTGATGACGGACGCTTGTGTTGTGCCCGAAACGTCGTGATTTAATTTATTTTATACCTACGTGACTTTATCGAAAGAACCAAAGAGTACATTCGTTTTTAGTGGAATCAACGTTCAACTGGTGTCGAACAACCCGCGGGGATACACACCGCCATATACAGCGTGCTTCAATAAAATGTTAACACTTTGGAGAATTTACAAACAATACCGCAAGAAATGTGCCTCCGCGCACTGGAGATAACCTGGAGAAGATTGTGTTGACAATGATGGCGAACAAATGGAGACTCTTTGAAGTTATTAACATACATTTATTATGTTACAGTGTATTATCCATTGTCTTTCCATTAAAAACGATAGTCCCATAATAAGTGTTAACATCTTTTTTTGAAGCACCCAGCATTAAGCCAGTCGGCAGTTTCACGCCTCGTTTTTGAGCGACACCCTTGCTCGCTCCGTAGGCCCCACCGTTTCCTCTTTAGGCCCCGCACCTTCCTACGTTGACACGGTGGAGTTGACGCCGAGGGTCGTGGCAGGGTTGTGAAAGGGGGCCCCAGTAAACGTGGGTTGCGGTATTCGTGGCGGGTCGTGGCAGTAGGGGAGGGCAGCTCCACAGCTTACCGAGAGCCCTCTTCGAGCAGCAATATAGGATTTCAACTGACGTGGAGAGCATGTTACTAGAGTGAATTATGCCATATATAAGCAAATGATATCCCCTATAGAAGTGTTATTTAAGCATTAGGTTGCATTTTTTTCCAGTTTTGGTTTCGAAATTTCATATTCGCTTTCCCATACCAATTCCACTTTTAGGTAGTTTGTTTTTACCTTGATCAAAAATATGTTCACGTGATCTTCAATTTAAAAAATGTTTTAGTTGTATTATTGTTGTTCTTGTTTATCCAGGGACGCCTCACCGAGTCTGCCAAGTTTTCGCAACAAGGGACAATGATTGCAATGTTTCTTCCACTTAATGTTTTACACTTGGCTAATTTGAACCATGAGGCCGGCACACTAATTAGGTGATAATTACTCTTAATAACGCGTGACTCGTTTTGTTACATTACCTGTTTAACAATGTGCTGTGCACCGTTTTCCAGACGTGTATTTCATTTCGAAGCCTTGAAAACCCAAAACCGTTGAACACTTGTAGCATGATTCAATTATCAAAAGTTCAGGTCTAATAGAATGTAATGTTGCGCGCTATGTTTAACACGTACGCTATGATCACAAAACCACACAATACACCGTCCAATTGCATAATAATACAACACTTATAATACTGTAGTTTTCATCTCACCATTTCATGGCGCTTTTAGGTTGATGTACACAGACCAATACTGTTGTCTAATCCACACTAAATTCCAAATGTACGTCAACTATATATGCCTGCGGGTATATTGGGTTAGGCCATTGCAGTTCAGCAGAGGCACGGTTTAGCCGAGCGAGCGTTCAAGGCATGGGGACACGATAGTTTCCGCACACAGGGGAGACTTGTTCATGATGCAGTCACTGATTAAAGGCCATCCTTGCGTTCATGGTGGATTCATTAAAGCGTGCATTTAAGAGTCGATCATTTATAAAATGCACAAACCATATGCAAATGTATTCTTGGTTCTTTCGGTAAAGTCACGTTGAAGGGAAACAATAAAATAATAAAATATATATAAAACAATAAAATTGTTTCCCTTCAACGTGACTTTACCGAAAGAACCAAGAATATGAATCACTGCATTCACGAAAGCTTTAAATCAAAGCTTCTATTTTTGGCGGATGAATGTAAAAGCGCTCCTACAGTTGCAATCGTGAAATCGCGAGTAAAACCTGCCATCAACTCCGAGCTCCAATCCCTACACTAGAAAATACTGTTTTTGTTACAGAATACTGTATTGTTGGTGCTATGGAGTGTAGTGTCACGAAAGCTTTAAATCAAAATTCATATGCAAATGGTTTGTGCAGAGCAAGAAATAGTGCAAACGAGATGGTACAAAGGATGCAAACATCAAATGTTCTTAATTTGAATCATGGTCTCGGATCGTGACAACCTAATTTCTGTGGGGGATATATTGTTACAGGTATTGCTTCGAGCACTGTTGTCATCTTAATACAGTAATGTATTCGAGGTGCTTTTACCTGTGTGATTGTGGTATTCCAGAGCGCACAAGAAATGATGACGGTGCAATATTTGACAGTCATAGCGCTCGCTAAACTTCAACTAAGTGCGGTGCTCGGTCATGTCCCTCGGGGTTACATCGCAATTCCTTACAGACTGCATGAGTAGGACAACCTATTTTCAATTTAGGGTGTCAAGTGCCTCGGGTTACTTTTTATTCTGTACCTACAAAACAGCATGAGACACAATTCAAGAAAATGGACCTGTTGTGCAACATTAACTTGAATATTTAAATTGGAAAATTCTACAATGTACCATTGCAAAGAGTGGTCTATTGCAGTATATAATGAAATATTTAAAGTTTATTCGTAATGTAATTATTGTAATGTGTATATTGTTTCGTATTAATATAAAGTACTATACAGCACAGTAATACTGAAATTGTAAAAGTGTTCATAACTTGGACGACGCAAGGAAAACCATTAAAAACGTCTTTGTAGTGACTGAAATTGGAATGTTCAGTAACGTATCCATATTTTCTCATCCGAGTATAAAACACGTGAGAAAATGTGTAAACCTTGAGTAATAAGTGGAATCTTCACTAATTAGTACACGTCGTTCCACTATTGCAAGTTTAACAGGTTCTAAATATCAAGTTATAACGACTATGTTTGATATGAGGCGCTTAATACGTAGTCTTCATTGCAATACTACTGCAATCTCCAGATTTTAAGACACTGGAAATATACTCTGCTTTAAAATACGGGGGGGGGGGGGGGAGTGCATCTTTTAATCTTGAGGATACAAAATATAAAGTGGGACATGCAATAACATAAGTATTGAAAATATTCCATAAAAAGGTCATAACACGGGCAAAATACCGTGAAGCGAATTAAATATAATCAAGGAATGGGGGTAGCAAGAGTACTGTGCTCGACTTGTGTTCGAAGAGGGGCCAGCCAGCAACACCCGGGTACTGCATCTTCAGCTGCACATGGGGACGAATGTGTGAACACATGTAGAGAAATGCTGTGCTCTCGAGCAGCAGCAGCAGCGAACACGGTGCACTGCCGGGTGCTGTGCCCCTGTAATGGATGCCAACCTCAGCTGAGTCGATCACAGGAAACTGGTCTCCCACTCGGGCTGTGCATCTTCCGTTTTGAGCTGAAGGTAGAACAAGCCACCTTCCCTGCATGTGCCATCCACACCAACGCACAGAACACACCACACACGTATCACTTTGCTCATTACGATGTCTATTTTGTGCGTATTCTTTGGGTCTTTCGGTAAAGTCACGTAGATAGAATAAAAATGAAAATAAAGTGAATAAAAAATAATAAAAAATATCACGACGTTTCGATCGCAACACAAGCAATCGTCATCAGGGGAAAAAAGGGGGTAAAGCTGCTGAGGCAGGCTGTTTTTAAAGGTTTGAAATGGGTGTAGCCCAAGGGTTATAAACGAAGTGGGCGGGGCCAGTGATGTAAAGTGAGAGAGATTAGCATGTCAATGTAAGATATTACCAGGTCAATGTAAACAGCGGCTGTGTTAGTGTGAACCTGTTAATGTAAAATCAGAGAGTCGAAAGTAACTAATCAAACGGTAGGATGGAAACATCACAGCCAGTTATGACTTTAACTGGTTAATAACGCCCTTCCAATGATTGCACAGTTTGTACCCATCTTCTCGGTTGACATTGTGTCTGTGTCTATATATCTGGATGGCTTCATGAACGAATCTTTGTTGATAGCCAGTGGGTTTGCAAAGTATCTTCATCTTGGAAAAATCAATTTCGTGTGAGCCCACTGCATTAAAACAATGATCAGCCACGGCTGAGGTATTGGTCCTACCGTGTTTCAGATCTGCCTTATGTTCACGAACACAGTCTGAGACATGTTGCTTAGGGAAACTAAGCGACATGTCTCGGACCGTGTTTTAATGCGGTGGGCTCACACGAAATTGATTTCTCCAAGATGAAGATACTCTGCAAACCCAGTGGCTATCAACAAATATTCATTTATGAAGCCATCCAGACATATAGACACAGACAATTTCAACCGAGAAGATGGGTACAAACTGAACAATCATTTGAAGGACGTTATTAACCAGTTTAAGTCATAACTGGCTGTGATGTTTCCATCCTACCTTCCGATGTTAGCAGTTATTTTCAACTCTCTGATTTTACATTAACAGGTTCACATGAACACAGCCGCCGTTTACATTGACATGCTAATCTCTTACATTGACATGCTAATCTCTCTCACCTTAACATCACTAGCCCCGCCCACTTCGTTTATGACCCTTGGGCTACACCCATTTCAAACCTTTAAAGCAGCCTGCCTCAGCAGCTTTACCCCCTTTTTTCTCCTGATGATTGCATGTGTTGCGATCAAAACATCGTAATATTTTTATTATTTTTTATTCACTTTATTTCATTTTTATTATTTTATTGTTCTATCTACGTGACTTTACCGAAAGAACCAAAGAATATGAATTCCTGCAGTCACGAAAGCTTTAAGTCAAGATTTATTTTGTGTTTATTTAAACCAACTATATCACGATTATAATATCCACGTCTCAGAATGAATGTAATAATGTTTACATCTTGGAAATATGTAATCCTCTGGAGTGACACAAACACAAGTAACATCGTTCAAATTTCCTGACATCCCTGAGCCTGCAAGAAAAATTCAGACGATTAAATATGTTCAAGCATACACCATGATCACCATGTGTACCACAAACACACGGGCATCATACACACGGGAATCATGAAGCAAACAACAGTGTCGATGTACATCCCCCCTTATGTGCACAATAATGCTTATGTAGCGAGTCCAACTGAGTCGCAGACGTTGTTCCTTTTAAAGGCAACACATTTATTTGAAGTTCTGTCTTCACGTGCATATTCTCTACACAACACACGTAACACAAAGGGGTAACTGCCCCTTCACCAGATACAGCCTAGGGTGGTGACCACCCAGCTAACTACTCTATACATAGGAGTTACTGCTACGAAGGGTCGGGCCCTCACTCGGGTCCCCAGCGACGTGGCTGCCTTGTAGAGCTTCCAGCGTGAGACGTAGAGCTTCCAGCTTGTAGATTGCAGCGATCCCGGTCCCTCTCAGGGACCCGCCTTATCCCCCTACGGTCGGGGCTGCTCCGCCCTTGGCCCCGCCCGCCTTCTGGAGCCTTCCAGCTCCCTCTCGAGAGCTCTCCCTGGACACGTGATCACCCCCTAGTCCCCCCACCTGGGGGCCTCTCTATGGACACTCTAGATCACGTGTCTGCAGGGTCGACCAGAGTGCCATGGCCCGGGGCAACCCTGCCCTTGGGCTGACACTCTCCCGCTCCCCCTCCTGGGAGCCCCCACCACACGCTGTGCGTGCTGCCCACGCTATCCCAGTGCTCACCAAGCCCCGCTAGGGCTTGGTACTACACCTGCCCACAGGGTTTATGCGATGACGGTTCATCGCGTGCCATGGCCCTCTCAGGCCGGCACCGTACAGTGACATCCCCGATGTCACTACACTTATATACACTCAATGAAATTAAATAATATTGTTTAGTCACATTTCACTGACGCTCATGGAGAAATGTTACAAAGTATTGCCGCTGAACTTGTTTGATGTTTATATGATGGCTAATAGGTGCTATTTCACCAGGGCCAACCAAAAATCTTCACTGAAATGCAAAAATATAGATGATGTGTAATATACAGTATGTTGTGGGAATTTCCGTTGTAGGAAAAACTGGTAAATGTACTAAATCAGCAGCGTTTCAGGCAATGCCCTTCTTACGTGCTGTTGATTGTGCTTGTACATCACTGCCAATGCAGCAGCAGTGTCACCAAATAATTAGTTTTAGTAAATGTAGCTGGCTTTCATAACAAATCGTCATATCACAGGCAGCGTGCATCGTTTATTCACCATCATGGTTAAATAAGAGTTTACCATAACTTAAAATGCTATATTCCACGGGTAATACAAATGCCAATACATTTAATAACCACGAGTCTACTAAAATAATATGAAACTTTTTTTTAAAGTAGTCAAACTCCATTTATCCAGGGTAAACGGGGAATCGGGTACCCTGGTTCCAAATATTCTGGGTCCCAACTGCAGATTCACTCGTTTATCCGTGGGGCATGACTACGGATAATCCCGGATAATGGGAAGAATTTGCCGAATAATTCTGTTTATTCGTGGTCCCGACCCCGGATATTCGGATGATCGGGTTTAGACAACCCGAGATGAACAAATTAATGGATAATCGTGTCGTAGATAAATAGATTGTGACTGTACTTGCTTACATATGCAGCCTGACCCACTTCTGTAGCGAGTCAAAGCATTTTGATGGCTACATTTGACAGACCTTCACTGCAGCTTTGCTTCACCGTCAGTGCTTGCATAACCCGTTAAAGTCTTAACTGACTGTGATGTTTCCATCCTACCTGCCTATGTCAGATTTTATTTTCGACTCTGTGTGTCTTTCTCCCTCTCTCTGTGCATCTCTCTCCGATCTCTACTCCAGTGACCTGGGTGCTGCTGCGGGGTCCACTTTCTGCCCCGCCTCCTCCCCCCCCTTCTCTCTCCCCCCTACTGCCGAGGCCTACTATATAACCTCGTGCCACGGCAGATCTCTCGCCTACTTCAGCAGTTTGTTCTTGCCGTGGTTGTCACACCTGATGACGATTGCTTGTGTTGCGATCGAAATGTTGTGATCTATTATTTTTTCCACCTACGTGACTTTACCGAAAGAACCAATGGGTAAAGATTTAGTTTATTTAAGACAGTACTGTAATCATCATAATTGACAACCCTTCCATTTCTGCTGGATTTAAAGCCTATGCACACTGTCAGTTTTTGGGGTTGAATGACCATTCTTGACCACGTTGGTCAATGCAGGTTAATAAAGGGGTGAGGAGGGTGGGTTCAGACCAGTTCAGATATCATTTGCCCCAAATATTAGCCATGACCCGGAAATTATAGTCGCCGGGTTAATCGCTTAGTGTGTTAACCAGTGCCATCACTCCCCCCACGTTAATTTATCATAACATATATGTCTGCATTTCAAATTCAAGTGTATGAGGTGCGGTCTCACATACCTGTCCGACTCAGTTTTGTCCTCTGGATCTGCCGTGCTGCTCACATCCACGCGCACATTTGTGTGCACACTGTTGTGTATCTTGTTGCGTCTGTCACAAAACTGCTCGCTCGTTTTATCATATGCCTATTCGGACAACAAGCGACAGGGCAAGGAACCAGAAAAGTGGTGAAGGACAGAGGGACAGCAGACAGGAAATAACAGATAGAAACAGATTCCAGAGCTACTCCTTCATTGTAAAATATCATCTGTATTCTGCCCACTGTTAGATGAAGGCCTCCCCACATCGCCATCTTTCAGTGTCACCATCCATCCTGCACATGAACTAATATCATGGCTCCATCTCCACAGAGATTATTTTCTCGACCTATTTCCTCCTTTGCCTGCCATTCCATCACCGGTCTCATCCATCGGCCAGCAACCATTTTAACAGTTAACATGATTTCTCTTACTTTTTTCTCAGCTCCATGTTTCCCCTTTCTATATCTTGGTATAATTAACAGCATGCATTAGTCCAGGACAATGGACTTTCAAGCATTTTTTCCATTTGCTTTGGCAGTTTTGATGTTTTTGATTCATGTTACAGTTAGCAGAAGACACTGAAAACGTTTATAGGCACATCAGTATACTTATTTTTCATGATCGAGATCAGCTTTTTTATTAAACGCTTCATCCAGCTGTTCATCATTTTTAAAAATCATGTTGATCAAAGGCCACTTTACACGGCTGCCCCTATTATACACATACTGCTGTGTTTTCAAGTTATACCCCTTCAAATGTTCCAATTTTTCTGAAAATTTGCTCATGTTTACGAATCCAACTTTTCAGCCTTGTTTTCACAGTTCACTTATTACGTGAATTTAATTTAGCCTTGGGTTTGGTGTTTCTAAATTGTAGAAACAGCACTATCGCGGTCATGCGTTTGTACAAACAATATAAACATGTGGTACCTGTAAGTATGCCGGTGGTAGAAGCTTTCCCACTGTTTTCACGAGCTGGGAGAATGTGGGTCTTTGGGATGCTCTGAGTGCCCAGCAAGCCTTCATTATCTCAAACCTGACTCAATCACATGCACAGTCACAGCCAGGATTAGGGAACTTCAGCAATGGTCCACAGGCACAAGTAACACAAACTCAAGTGTCTTTAGAACCGCCCTAAAGAGGAAAATAATGGTCAGTGCCGAAAACGTTGCACATTATCTACGTGTATTAACCGTGTAGGGTAGTGTTGGCGAAAGTGTTGAGTTTTTATTGTGACCCTATTCCACCATTGTCAAATCATGTTTCCACTAGCACACTGCCATGCTATTTGAAATTCGCACGATATATCGGAGATGGTTCTTGAAGTGCTGAGTGGAGAGCCGTTGGCGTGAAAAGGGAATGCTCTAGGCCAGGCGAGGGTTTGAGTGGAGTGCTCATGTTGGAATGCTTTGTGGTAGCCACAATGTCGAAATGGGGAAGGCGGCACGAACTTCCTTGGTACTGACCCTGAATGAATAAAAAGCCCACGTCTAATTCACCCTTTACTTGATGTTCTGTGGGAAAATATTACTTACATTGTGTGGACATGCATGGAGTGTAAAATCGCAATTTCGATTTAAAGCTTTCGTGACTGCAAGGATTCATCTTCTTTGGTTCTTTCGGTAAAGTCACCACGTAGAATGAGAATAAAACGTCGTGAGAATATTATTGTGTTATTTTATTTTATCAATTTATTATTTTATTCTCATTCTACGTGACTTTTCCGAAAGAACCGAAAGAAGATGTAAAATCGCACTTTATTCAGATTTACGTTGGTTCTTTGTCATCATTGTTGTGATATAATCCACGTCACATTCAGATGGCTGCAATAACCTCACGCAATGCATCATGATCAGTATTGAGATTTACACATTTCATAAAGCAAGATTATATTCTTTGGGTCTTTCGGTAAAGCCACATAGATAAATATAATAATAAAAATAATTTGAATATAAATAATAAAAAGAATAACAATATCACGACGTTTCGATCGCAACACAAGCAATCGTCATCAGGTGAGAAATATCGCGGGAGAGCTTTTGAGAATATATGCTAGATTACTTGTGTTATTATTAGCAGCAGTGTTTGCATGTTACCGTCACATGGACATCTCGTTTAAAACTGTCAACCATGCCAGCATGCATGGCTCTGTAGACCAATTTTATTTCTCAGAGTAGAATTCATCAAGCGAAGGCAAACAGAAATTAACGATTTCTGTAGTCGGTCGAGAAGGGACGTTTAAAACAGATGACTTCCACTGCGAGGGGTAACATGTAACGTTTTCCGTAATCATTTTTGTCGTCTATTAATTTAATATGAACTATATTAATTATAAAGTAGGAGAATCCAGGGTCCCCACACGTATGTTACCATGATATATTTTTTCTGTACTCTCATCCTAATTCGCTACCTACATAGTTACCACAATGCGTCGCACTAACGAGTACTCACATGTCTTCTGTCGCATGTTCTGGCTTGTCCATATGAAGTCCAGCTTTCAGCTGCCCATAAAAGTGTGCATCAATCGCCATTCCAGGGTAAGGACTGCCTCCTAGAGATAATTCATCATCACCGTCATCATCATCACCATCATCATCGTCATCATCATCGTCCCAGCGGCTTCTGGCTGACCATCGAATACAGACGGTCACCGCATCGCGCACTTTCAGATGCGCTTCTGCGGCCTTCTAGAACACTCTTCAGACATTGAGCTATTGGAGCTATACATTTTTTAATTATCTAGATTAAAAACTGATTTCTAAAGAACTGCTTTTTGTGTTTAGTTTGTTGTCCTTCTCCCGCACCTCTGATTAGCACGGTTGGCTACGTACGGTGCGACAGCAGTTCAACATACATCGTCATCGCATGTGCATTGCTAATTCTAAGTAAATGCACGTCAAGGGGTGTATGCAATACTCACGTTTCCAATGTCATAAGGCATATTTAACACAGGAACCTTTACAGTTATATGAAAACTACACTCCATAGCACCAACAATACAGTATTCTGTAACAAAAACAGTATTTTCTAGTGTAGGGATTGGAGCTCGGAGTTGATGGCAGGTTTTACTCGCGATTTCACGATTGCAACTGTAGGAGCGCTTTTACATTCACGCGCCAAAAATAGAAGCTTTGATTTAAAGCTTTCGTGACTGCAGGGATTCATATTCTTGGTTCTTTCGGTAAAGTCACGTAGAAGGGAAACAAAAAAATAAGCAAAAAATAAAAAAATATATTTGTATTATTTTATTGTTTCCCTTCTACGTGACTTTACCGAAAGAACCAGGAATATAAAAATAGAAGCATCGGAAATTTGCGCCACAAGTGCCTCTCACGGACTGGCCAGCCAGGGACGCGATAATCCAAGATTGGCAATTTGAGGGCACGATATCACTCGTGCATCTCACCTGCTCATATAGCCCAGGGGACGGTAAAAAAAGAACCCCTCAATATTTCAAGAGCTGCAAGGCATGTGTATACAAGAGCAGTGGTCTTTAATGAATATCGTCAAGAAGCAATCCTTCAAGAGTCGCATGTTGCTCTGTAACCGCAGGTTGCTGACCCCTGCTCTAGCCCAAACTACCCTGGGCCCATTTAGTTCATAATTGATCGTGGATTTGTGAATTTGCGTTTACTTTCACCTATCATAGTTGACCAGCCCTGAAATAGCATTTTGCATGTGATAGCATTACACGAAATTACATTTGTGAGTGCGGTATTCGGATAGAAGTGCGTGTTCACATACCGAGCGAGAATATTTCCCACAGCAGCACACCGTATGACCACACATCGCTGAGTGTTGTGTACACATTGTCAAAGATGCTCTCGGGGGCCATCCATTTCACCGGCAGGAACGTCTATACACACAGATACATTACGACTTTCACTCGTTAAAAGTTACATCCTTGATCCATCCGTTCCTCCTCACTCAGTGTCGGTCTAATTCCAAGCGTGACTTCAGTGACTGTCGAGGTATTGTGAACAAATTGCCTAGGACATACAGCATACTGGTTAAAATGAATCGATTCTTACACGTATGAATGGATGCTTGCATCATGAACGTAATAATGCATTTGAATCGATTCATCTATGGACTCTTGTATGCCTATGTGTCATGGCAATAACATGATTTCATAAAATGTCAAAAAATTACGTCTTAAATTTTGATTTAAAGCTTTCGTAACTGCAGTAATTCATATTCTTAGTTCTTTCGGTAAAGTCACGTTGAAGGGAAACAATAAAATAATAAAAAAATATATAAAACAATAAAAATTCTCACGATGACGACCGTTTGTGTTATGGTCGAAACGTCGTGAGAATTTTTATTGTTTTATATATTTTATTATTTTATTGTTTCCCTTCAACGTGAAATTAAGTCTTGTGCAATTTGTGTAAATGTCCAAATATTTGATTACATGTGCATGCATATGTACAAACAAAGACACCCCTGTTTTAGCGAGCACCTATTAAGGCCGGCACGGCACACAAGGGGGTAGGTGACTAGATCCACACCCTGATCGCCTTTGTCCCCCAGTGCTCATGTTTACACATTCGCACGAGGTACTTATTTAAGTCAGAGTCGACCTTGGGGAGGCCCTGAACCAGTTAAAATACTCACCACATTTGTTAGTCGTGAGCAGGAATTGAACTCCACTCACCGGGTTCATACCACAGTGCGCAAACCACTACACTTCTGCCCCCCCTCCCCCCACACACACACACACACGTGCAATGAAAGTCATGTTTTGTACATACATTGCCCCTGGATATGTAGTTGGTGTCTTTCTCCAGATCTCTCGCCAGTCCAAAGTCACAAATTTTGACCACTCGGTGGTTTGCGAGCAGCACGTTACGGGCAGCCAGGTCTCTGTGTACGCACTGCCGCATGCAAACACAATAACAACACACGTGTTATACCCTATATGGTTCAACTAGCTGCACTACCCGGCTTCGCCCGGGACTTGGATCCACCACGCCCGGCCGCCTTTGTCTCCCCAGTGGCGATGTTCACACACCACACCAGTTACTCGTTTGAGGCTGAGTCCACCTAGGGCAGGCCCAGGACCGGTTAAAATAATCGTCACCGGTGGTGGCCGTGAGTGGGAATCGAACTCGGGTCGCCGGGTTCGTAGTTCGGCGCACTAACCACTACACTACAATACGTTACGCTTACACACACAAACACATCGCGCTAACCACTACACTACAATGCGTTACGCTTCCACGTGCGCGAGTCACGTGACAGATTTTACGTCACAGCTCACTTGCCGTGCAAAAAATATAAATGCATTGAGCTCCCCCTCCCCCCCCCCAAAAAGTGTATTTGTATAATTTTTGCATAGTGTACAGTCTGGAAAGCACCCACATGGCAAATTTCAAGTTTGTTGCATGTCGGGAAGTACGCTAAACATTTTGAACAGACATATTCACAACTTTGCCTTGTATATATATGGAGATGTGGCATTTTTGAGAGCCTATTAAGGCTGGCACAGCACATGATGCATTTTAACTAGCACTTTATCCATCTGCCTTCATCCTTTCAATACTGAAGCTTACGCAGCCAAAAGGATACATTACTGAGTTTAGGCTGGTTCTACCAATTATCCTTGGTACTATGCAAGGCACAGGATCGATCCATAGTATCTGGGATAGTGATACATTGTGTTATTGACTACAGCGCTGCTCCTGATATTACATTAGTTTGATGCTTTTCTAACAAGTTGGGTAGCTGCCAAATTTGTTAGAGCACAGTTCTTCGATCATACCCCAGTATGCCTTGGGTATGCCACCCAAGCATCATTTGGTCCTGATATTTCAATGCATCAGTGGGCAACAGGTATGATAAGTGGGTGCACGTGGTTCTCGTTTTGGCTAAAGCCCAATCTCTTATTATGGCACATAAGTGCCAAAATATACCATATAAGGCCCCACATTAGATCGGTTAATAATTGGTGCTATGACAAATAGAAAATCAGCAAATCGTAGAGTGTTCATGTGGAGTGAATACTTATTCAGTACATGTGTGGTGTTAATGTGTGAAGTTCATACACAGTTACGTACAGGTCTGATGATTGTTTTAAATATCAGACGTACATTTTTAGAGGCAAGGAACGCCATGCCCTGTGCCACCTGGTAGGCACAGCTGAGGAGGTCTGTAGATGTGAGGGGCGACGCCCCACCAAGTTCACAGCTGGCATAGAATGGTTCGTCTGTAAAAATACACAAGCTATGACCAGAATGTCATAAATGCTACAGTTCACGGGCCCATCCATGAGTTAAGCACACATTATTATCGGCCTATCCACAATGAATATGCATTGTGTGAATGTACATATTCTTACCATCTCTTTGGGTATCCATATAATAGACCCCATCCACCACTGTGTATACAACGCGGTCCACACGTGCTTCAGAACGCACGTAATTGTCATCATCTCCGGGCCTCATATCCATATACATGCTCTCAGCACATGTAGAGCTACACACACACGCGCGCGTGCGTACACGTGAGCACAACCAGAACATCTGTACTTATATACAGAATCGCATTATTTCATGTTTTGTAATCACAATGAAATGTAATACTGCAAATGTACAGCTCTTTGTAAATCCACTATTGAATGAAGGGCCCTCCCCATTTCATATCAGTCATGGGTTTACTTTACCTTACTTCAGCACGCTTGTTCGGTGCAGGTTAGTGAAGGTTGTAAGCTGAGACCGTTTTTGATTTCACTGATGTCAGCTCGTGGCTGTGAATCGTACTTAGGTCGCTGGGTTCATAGCACCGTGAGATAAACAGCCCCATCGGCCTAACCAGCCACACTACTCACGACGTGAAGTGTGGTGACAACGGACATCTCTGTGGGCAGCCCACCTTGCTGCAGGCCTCTTGAGCGACTGCTGAGCATCCTTTAACCAGTGAAGGTACGCATACTTGTTTCTGTGCAGGAAGTTCACCAGATCACCGTGGCAACAGAACTCGGTAATGATGTAGACAGGACCTGCGGGGTCATTGTTTTTAGTCGTTATTTGCTGTCTTCTATAAATGTGAATGGCACAATTCGCTATTGTAAAATGTCCATTTTAAAAACAAGCATCTGCTGCTTCCGTTGGCAAGTTACAGCATAACACGTCATTTGTGCATTATGACACCTCAAGATTTCAGTGAATGAACTCGCATTCCCAGATACGTTTGAAGATAATGGCATAAATATGTAAATTACTGTACTCACAAAAAATTGTCATGCATTTTTAATTGAAGTAGGTGGCTATAAATAGGCATGTGAATGAGCAAACAATTCATAATTAATCGCTCGTGATGTATTTGGGTAAAGGCGCAGGCTTCCTATTGCTTACTCAGGGCCTCCACTCCAGGGGGCTCTAGAGGGTAACGTGAACACTCTTCCACACTGGCTCGCTGACTTGGAAGAGGTGACAGTACTCAAACTTTACACCACCACACTGTCCCCAACTTTACCCCAGCCAATCGACCAACTACGGTGTACCCATTTATGCTGCTGGGTGGACAGAGGCAGTGGAGAGGGGCGGGAATTTCAGAAACTTGTCCATTGTTTCAACTGCCAGGCCGGGAAATCAAACCAGCAAAACTCTGCATCGCAAGTCTAATTTGCGATCCATTCTGCCGTGGCTGCATACGGTGATTGCATCATCATTATCATCAGCCCTGGCCAATCCACTGGCTAAATAATAATAATGCAATTTATAAAGCACGCAACATTTCACTGCGATAAGTGACCGCGACTCTTAAGGCGCGGAGCCAAGCTCAGGTGAAGAGGTGGGGGCCTTTAAGTGTCTTAAAAGTCGCCGTAGGTTGAACGCTGCTGCGAATGTGCAGCAGCAGCAGCAGCGGAATGGCGTTCCAGACGGCGGGGGCTGCCACGGAGAAACGTCGCCCGGCAGTGACCATGGTCCTGGGCCTTGGCGTAGAGGAGAGGAGGTTGTGAGTCGCACTGCTACGGAGAGTTCTACCGTGAGGTGTAATGCGGGGCGACAGGAGAGCGAAGAGAGATAACGGTGGACGACTGAAAGTAGAGGCGCAGTGGCACAGGCAGGCAGGATGAAGGCCTCCCGAAGCTGCTGCTGCCACCTCTGCGATGCAATAATCCACCTAGCACTTGCACGTGAACTGCTTTCATCGCCGCACCTCGTTGGTGTTTCAACAAAGAAACGTGAAATCGTCTTGCCTCCCACAGTGCAGGCCCCCAACAGGTTGACGATGTTGAGATGTGCGCCCAGGTGGCTCATGATCTTCAGCTCAGACATCATCGCTCGCCTTTCACTCGTGGACGAGTTGGCTGAGAGACACAACGACCCATGCACACAAAGACGTTATCATCATCAGCAGCTGTGATCTGTTGGTTGCAGGATGAAGAGCTCGCCAAGCCGCCGCGCATGGGCAGATTTCGTCGTTCCATCTCGGACATCCTCAAGGGCGTGTTCCCTCTTTTGGATGCGACACAATTATTCATACAAGCGCAAAACCTTACACACTTGCGAGTTGACGTAGTGGTCTGCACTATAAATCAGGACATCTTCCTTGATTCCCGAAGCATGGCAAACATTATTTGGTGAGTGATATCTATAAATTTAAACTATCAACATTTTTTTTTATTTTACCGGGTAATGCCCAACTGAGATAGGCGGCTCTTTTTGAGAAGCGATCTGGCCACAAGTTATAGCTCAACGAAGTGGCTTGTCACGTGGGAATTTCTACTGTAGCAGCCGAATACTCTAAGCACATGGTAATTCTAAATGTGGAGGGAAAAACCGGAAGACCCTCAGAAAATGGAACCCACAACCTCTTGTATACCAGGCGAGGTAGTTAACATTTCGCCACTGTGGCGCCCCTAAACCATTCCTCAGCGCATCCCCTTCAGTAACCCACACTGACCTGCGTGGTGAGGTACGGTCAAAGGATCCCTTTATTTGTTGTCAGGCATACAAAACCCAAGGCTGAAATATCACCGGCAAATGACTCAATTTATATTAGACGTAGCAACACCGCCCCCTACCGCTGAAAACGCAGCAGGACCCTCCCGCGAAGGAGTCTTGAGACTCAGCGAGGCAATCATACAAAACGAAAATAATTTAGAAAAATAATATGCAGCCTCATTTGTTCAAATGGGCTGCTATTGTGGATCCACTGCAGACGCTCCCCTATGTTACTGTCACTCTTGTTGCGATAGTAACTGTGATAGTTACTATAAACAAATATGATTAGTAATTTATGTTTTGCGTTAGGCCACATAATAACCTGGCCAAACTTGTGGCATAAGTTCCTCAACCACCCGACAAAGCCAAACATGACATTTTCACGTGTACTGTACAAGCGTTTCACACGCCAGTAAGTTTAGAAGAATTATCACTACCAAATTTAGCAATTAGACATGACGTGTCGCTTAAAACTGTGCCAAGCATCTTCAGGGCAAAATCGAGGAAGTCAGAATGTGGACTTAACCAAAAATCAATTTTTGAATCATCATATTGTTGTGTATGTCGGAGAAGCGGCGGTGTTGTTTTTTGTTGATGAAACCCGATTTAAGAGTTTATTGGCTCACAGGATAATTCAAAATCATCTGAAACTGAACTGATATTGGCTGTAAAAGCGTACATGTTAAATTATATTACATACAGGGATTGCTGAAAATGTATTTTCTAAGTTCATTGAAATTAACCTTTATATTAATGTACTTTTACAATGTTTTCACAATTATATGTGTATTTGGTAAACGTGTTTCTTATTGTGTATGTATGCACGTGCACGCGCGGAAATGTTACCTTTAAGCATTTTGACAGCGACGCACGGAGTTTCCGTGCCCTGTATGCTTGCTTCAACCACTTTACCAAAAGCGCCACAACCCAGGACTCGACCTGTTTGAAGAGGGATAATAATAATCACAAGCATGCATGATAAATTATGTTAGCCCACCTATCCAGGATTCAGGGCTTCCCATGGCTCTCAAATTTAAATTCGGGGATGAGGGATGGGCCAGCTCTGTAGCCTCGGAGGAAGGACTCAGCCCTCCTTAACTCAAGGTTCTCCTTAACAACGGCTAACTTTGCGAGCGAGGGCAGAATGCAAGATAGATGAAAGCAAATCACAGCCTTACCAATGCTGTTTGGTGTTTAATGTGTTTAGCGTTTGTTTAACATTGATTGTGTCGTGCCTCCCCCCACACTACTATCCTGAGTGTTTTAATGCTTCATTTTAAACTAGGTCACGCTACAGGGCTGGGACGGACCAAGGTCCTGGGAAGCCCTGTCAGCCCTGAACCGACTGTGAGAAATACAGGGTAGGCTGCTGCTCGATCAGCCACCAAGTTACAGGGAAGATTAGAGTAGGGTCCGGAGCAAGTTGTAAGTGTGTCTGTTGAGGTTAGGGGTGGCTCAGATGGCCCTGGGTTAAGGTCCAGTAAGCTCTTAATTCGAACCGGAATATTTAATATACTTAGAGATTAAAAGTTTTCACAATTTGTTATAATTTCACATATTCTGCAAAGTTTCACCAAGTTTAAATTTAAAAAAATATTAGAATGTAAGTGTGAATTTTATTTGGTTTGTTTTAACTTAAAATAAAATAAAGTAAATTTTGTATAAAATTCAGAGGCAATAAGTACGTATAATAGTGCACAATTAATATGCTGCAGCAGCTTTTTTAAAAATTACATTTTATTAAAATACATATTTATACAGTGGATGCATATATTGAAATATATATTTATATATGTTTATGTATTTGTTTTCCGTCATACTGCGTACATGCCTGGAACATTGCCTTTTCCAATGGGTAAGATGAGTGAATGTGTATGTGCTTACATTGACTACGCTTGTGAACGGGTTCATACACCATAGGATGTTTTTGTGATGGCAGCTTACGTGTTTTTCATTTCTACGATTTGCTGGCTTTGCCATACTGAACAAACGTCACGTTTTACATTCAATGCATGGGCAATTTCTCCGATAGGTTTACTAACACTATTGAGTATGACGTTGTTTGGTAAAGGTGCAGCTCTGCTATTATTTGCTCACACCACTGCCGGCAGAAGGGCCTCAACTGGTGTATATTTTGGCCTACTCTTTCACACTCGTTTCTTCATAACTGCTTCTTGTTCATTAGACCTCCTTTACCAGTACCAAATGTAATAATAGGTATTTGAGCTGTACGCCTTCTGGCGTCATCTGGTCGAGCACCAATTGGGTCGAGGCTCAAAAGAAAGCCGTCCCTTGGTGTGGACCAATCAGTTTCAAGGACAATGCATATATTATCATAGTATGTTTTTTGTTTGCATTTTGACTGCAGGTATTGTAGTTAATGCAGACATGAATCCTTGTAAAAAGGTTTCAGTTTTGTTGCCAGAAAAAAGGGGGAAAACCCTTTTATAACTGCTTCTTGTGTTTGGTTTGTTGCACTTTCCCCGGCAACTCTGATCAGCAGAGTTGGCTACGTACGGTGCGACAGAAGTTCAACATACATTCATGCTGGCCAGGTGTCTTGGTGGGAGTACGTACACGTTACCCCACCAAACGCGACACGCCAATCAACAAACAGTGGCGTCCCCATTTAGACTGCTGGATGGACTGAGGGGGGTGAGAGGGAGAATTTACGAAATATTCCCCGTTGTTTAATTGCTCATGGGGATAAAACTGGCAATATCTGGGCGTCACACCCAAAGTTCTAACCGTTACGCCACGGCACCATCCCAAACGCTGTTAAAACGCGATGCAGCGCGACGGCGAGAACTTCCTCTCCTCTCGGCGACGGTGTCTCTGTGCGTTCATACCAAATTTCAGAGTGCTTCGGGGAACTTCCCAGCGTCGGTCATACAGGAGTTGCATCGGGTCCACGTACGTGTACTCGCTCCCGTCTGGGCTCAGCGGCTCGATAACCTTCCACCGCACCTCGTAACGCGGTTTCTGCGCAGGCAAAGCCAAAGCATTCGCGCACGCACGCACGCACGGACGCACGTGAGAAGAAGAGCCATCGGCACGCTCCTCGCAGCTGCGTCGCGGTGGGCAGGGTGCACACTGCATGGTGGGGATGAGCGGACATGCGCTAGTTCAATATACCGTATTGGTTTTGGAGTTCACCGAAGCAGTTTATCGAAACATGTTGGTTGAGACAGGTTTCCATGGCACTGTAATCCGTAATGTGTTTGTGCTGGTGCCAACCCCCTTTTCATATCTTGTGTGTTACGTAGCTGAATCGTTTTGTTTATAAAATATTTTTGGGAACAAAACCCCCATCATATTTCTCTCGAAAGAAAATTAACACAAACTCAATGCATTCATCAATAATGCTGATCTAAAATGAAAATGTGCACAGTATATACTGTATATAATAGGTGACGTTTCGCGTCAAGGCTCTCCCTGCCATTTATTCCTGGCAGGGAGATGCCCGTTGCTATAAGAATGCTATCAAACCTAATTTTAAGTGTTGTGATCTTGCAAAGATAATAGATTAATAATGCCATGGTAACGTGATCGGTTAGGAGCAACAATGCAAAATTAATAATCTGCAATATTCTTAAGCAATGCATTTCTATTGCTATTTGTTTCTGTGGTATTAGATCACGACTGAAAAAAGAGCGTTGTACTGGACAAGTACCGTCCTCCATAGAAATGTTAAAATAATGGAGACGAACAAAAATCCACGAACCGCCTTCCACTGCCACGTGGAAGGAGCAAGAGGCCATCCATGCGCGAGGTAACTGGACAGCAAAGGGGAGGACTGTAACAACAATGAAGTATTCTTACATGAAGTGATGGCTGTGACCGGAAAAAATAAATGAGGGGGTGGGAGGGGAGCTCAGCTCTGTCCAGCCTCATCGACAGCCACCTCGTGGTCACCGTAGAGAGCAGAAGAGAGAGAGAGAGACACGGTCCTTCACAGCAGCGCTCCAGAGTCCCCACACGAAGGTGGAGGCGGACGCTCACTTACCCTATTACAAATGACAATGGCAACGATGAGGAGGGCCATGGAGAGCACGAGGAGGAACAGCACCACCGACAGCGCTGTGAGGCCCACCTTGGAGTCTTTCATCATCATCATCATCATCGTCGTCATCGTCGTCGTCGTCGCCACGCGTTACCAAGCAACAAAACAACATTACATTGAGTTTATCGTTGCACAGTAGTCGCAAACGTTCAAACGTGTTCATGACGAAAGTGTCATCGTGACGATTAATATCATCAGGTCGCTTTGGTCTGTGGTTGCAGTGCTTTTGACACGCAAACAGTGGATTGCAAGTTCTAATATTAGAGCGGGGTCAACTCGGCCCACCATCCATCTAGACGGGATAACGTAGGTAACTCCTCTGAGATAAGTCAACAGCAATTGAATGAGGAATTTCCACCAGTGGCGAAAGATCGTCAGCGGAGATGAGTAATGCCCCGTGACTTGTTTAAGTCCGACTCAAATCAACACTGATGACATTTGGATTGTTTTTTTTTTAAATAATATGATGCGAATTGAAGTGGTGGTGGTGGTGGTGACGGTGGTGACCATACCCGTGTTCAGTAGGGACAGGATCTGCTCATCGGTTTGGAAGGGGTTTGTGGCCACGCAGCGCACAGCAGTCGGGGTCACCAATGTCGCGGGATCGAAGGTGATTGTGCTGCTGCTGATCCCCTTGCTGGGATCGGCCCACTCCTGCACAGATATGCCCTCTGCAATACAGAGCGTGGCATCGACGTTAGTTACTCGGGCAAAACGCCGAAGCAGATGAGTGAGGTCATTTTTGAAATGGAAATGCTCATTGAAACCTTTGTCTGGGTTCACGTTGCTGTAGTCGAAGCCAACAGCTGGGTTGTCTCTGCGGCTTGAATTCGCGTCAGCTGGCAGGCCTGAGCCTAGCCCTGCAGGAGCTGTGCCATTGCTGACGTAGATCAAGGTCCAATGAGTCGGTTCTGTGCAACTGGGGGAGGTGTAAGGCACAGCAATGAACAAACACGTTAAACAGTTGCATGGTAGGTTTGCGTGTGGTGGGGTCAAGTGTGCGTACACCCGCCTCTTCCAAGACATGCCCAGCGTGGAAGAGGAGGCCATGCCGACCCTCTGAAGGGTCGAGCTAGCGGTGGCTTGGGCGAGCCATTTCTGTGCTGGGCCTTCTTGCCGCTACCTGGTTAAACAGCGAATGCCTCACTCACAAATCACAACGGAATTTCACAGTCGTCAAGTGCTGAACCTCTTTCTTGCTGGTAAGCAAATTGTCCTTTCAACAAACAGGGGAAGTGACGGACAACATAGAACCTTACGGCGGGGACTCTGGGGTCCCATAAGCCCCCGGCTCTCGCATGAACTGCGTTGCGACGTCGTTTTATGTCTGTGGAAGGCGAACGACACGGCCATCTCTTCCTCTCGACGTGCCCTGCACGATGCGCTCATCAAAGTTTAAAAGTTTTGTTTCTCCTGCGCATTCGTCCTCGCTGCTACGCTTGAACGACGCGACAACAGAACGATTTGCCCCAGGTGGGTCGCGGCGTTTATGTTGCGCGGTGGGACGGAGTCGCCAAAAATAAATGAATTCATTACGATTTTGACTTGACCGTTTATTCGGGATCCCGGGGTCCCGCCATAAGGTTCATGAATGGCATCCTGGAGAGACTGCAAAGCAATTCCGAATATTTTATTGGGAGAGCTGACCACTCCACCACAGCAATGCCACTTGGCATGATAACGCCGCCTGCAATCTCACACTCGGTAATAACAATAACGATCATTTGCTTTTGTTAGGAGCCTTTCACAGTGTCTCAAGATGCATGAAAAGGACAAAGATAACGAAGAAGAACCGAGTGGCAAAATAAGAGCCAGAGAGGAATAGAGCCGTTTGTAAGTTTACTTGAGTTTATTTTGATTTGCAAAACGGATGACCCCGTTTAGCCAGTTGCCCGGCTAAGGAACATGGGAGATCCGGAGTGCTACGTGAGCAGCAACAGCAGCAGCAGCAACAGCAGCAGGAGCAACAGCAGCAGGAGCAACAGTAGCAGCAGCAGCAGCAACAACAACAGCAGCAGCAACAGCAGGAGCAGCAACAACAGCAGCAGCAACAACAGAAGTAGCAGCAGCAACAGCAGCAACAGCAGGAGCAACAGCAGCAACAGCAGGAGCAGCAGCAACAGCAGCAGCAACAACAGCAGCAGCAGCAACAACAGAAGTAGCAGCAGCAGCAACAGCAGCAACAGCAGGAGCAACAGCAGCAGGAGCAACAGCAGCAGGAGCAGCAGCAGCAGGAGCAACAGCAGCAGCAACATTGCAGAGAACGAGCGCAGGGTATTTAACGGTCGTGAACGAAACACACGCGGGAGTAGAGAAAAAGCAGTGCTTATATAATTTTAATATATATAACAATAAAAAAGAAAGATGTGTTGTAGTCAGGGTTTGTTTATTTTTGCAGAGGTTCATGTGTATAGACATCTAATCTGCAGGCTTATTGTGGTCAGCAGATGGCAAACAGAAAGTAGGTTCATAACATATATCCGTGCACTTTTGTGTGTTGTGCATTACTCTGGTTTTTACAACTCACCCAAAGTGGTAAAATAGTAAAAGAGGCTTGACATTCAGTAAGGCTGACAATGAATCCTAATCAACTGGAAAATCATGCCGAGGCTAAACATTAAATGAGCACTCGCAAGAGTACGCTGTTGCATGCTTATGTGACAGCCGAACATTAATAAAAGCTGCCCAATTCAAAGTAGTCCCAGGTCACTCTTGAAAAAGACTCAATCTTAATGAATGCGAACCTAGTTAATAATTAAAGATGAGAGGCACGGCCCTGCTTGCTTACAGCATTGCTGGTAGGAGGGCTTCCACTAGAGGGGGCTCCAGGTGAACCCCGACAAGGGGCATTTTGGCCAATCCTTAATATTGTTCATTTTGGCTTTTTAAGCACTATTCATGCCTCCATCTCTGACGCGTTCTGTTCCGATGTTGCCTGTTCTCCGGAGGGATCACTTTGATGTTGTTCTTATTCTGTGCTGATGCACCATGGATCTGTCTCCCTGGCAAACTAGCTGGGTAAAGTGGCTAAGCGGAATGCTGCGTGTAACTATTAAACATTGGTGGATTGTTTCCACGCTGGGCCAGACTTCTTGGAAGACGTAGAAGGATCCACACTTTACCCAGCTCACACCGCGACATGCCCATACACTTCCTGTGAGGTGTAAGTATACGGGAAGTCCCCGAATTCAGGAATGGTTCCGTTCCAGAGACCCGCTCGTAAGTCAAACGGTTCGTAAGTCAGAACACAATAACACACTGTATTTAAAAGCACTTACGGTCAGTGTTAAAATATGTGTTATGGTTCAACAAAAAATGGAAGCACTGTTTAAGTCATAAATAAGAAATATTCTACATTTGCGTGCAACACCGTAAATTGTTCCGCGGTTTGGTTCGCAAGTGCGAAATCACGTTGGCGAAAAAAATGAATATCCAGTGGAAGCCCGTTCGTAAGTGAGGATGTGCGTAAGTCGGGGCACTGCCCTTACCGCACTATATGAAGGATACCGTAATGAGTTAAGAGAGACGCGGAGCCGTGGACGCTTGGTGCTGCTACCGACCTGTGCTGCTGGCTACAGGCAAACCACTCGATGCGTGGTTTGGGAGAGCCCCGTGCCAGGCACACAACGCGGTGCGCTCCGCTCCAGCCATCGTCGCCCCGCTCCGCGTTGTCCGACAGCTTCGTGATGGCTGCCGGCACTGAGGGAGTCGACGGCATAATTACGACTGGTGGCATCGTCCTACGCGATGTCTGCGTTGGATTCAGTATTCACACGTACTCTTTGGTTCTTTCGGTAAAGTCACGTAGGTAGAAAATGAATAAAATCACGACGTTTCGGGCGCAGCACAAGCGTCCGTCATCAGGTGGGACAACCACAGCAAGGAAACAAAGAGAATGGATCCCTGCAGTAACAACAACTTCAAATTACATATTTGTAAATAATTATGTTGCCAAAATGGTTTTGTGACAGTGTTTAGCTGGTTCCTTACGCTAACGGGTTCATTGAATGGATTATATAACATGAGACTGATGGACGAGAGCAGTGATGGCAGGGGTTTGAGATGTTGGTGACGATCATGATCTTGTGATGCTGCGATATGACAAACAGTGGATTTTCCAACAAAACAAAAAAAACGCAGAAGAAAGATTGTTGTGCTTATTTTGAGAATACAAATACAAAATTGTGTTTATAATTAAAAAAAACAGCAAATACACAACAGTAGCTCATGAAGCGTAAGAAACCCGTGGCAATGTTGATGCCTTGTTATAGGAGGGGCGTTTTACCATTGATGGACAGGTAGAAGCTGTAGCTGGCATTGTCATCGCTGTTCTCCACCACGATAGAGTAGAGGCCTTCATCGCTTAGCGCCACCCGGCTGAGACCCAGCCAGCTGCGGTAACTGTAACGTCACCAGACAATCAACGCAGCGTCACACAATAGCTACTGCACACGGCCATCACGCCTGAAATGCCCAGCGTCGCCACTGCCACCACGAACGATTCAGACACGAAATACTGAAGTGTTAAGCACACAGAGATCACGTAGCTACAAAAATAAAATAAAAAGCCCTTTGCGTCCCGAAGCTCAAACGAGCGGTGAGTGCGCGCAGCTGAGTTTGTGCACCTCCAATCAGAGGTGTGGCCACATTTTGAAAGCGTGGGGTTGTCCTACTCTCGAATGGTTCCTGACAGTATCCCTGCATCTCCGCATGAACTACGATATTGTAGCGCATGGCCATATTTAGTCGTACAGTCCTCACAATCGGCGCATTCAGGTAGCATCACTTACTGGTTATTCCGTGGATCTACAGCTTCAAAGCCAATGTTTGCGTGGCTGTCTCCACGATCGCCAGAGCTGCCGTCTGCCCTCTTCCAGCGCGACTCCTCCTGGTCCCGTTGACTGTCAGGCGCAGCTTTGTCCGCACTCTCTCTTGCTCGATCACGACGGAACGGACCTCCAGCCTGCCGACTCTCAGCAGTCGGCCTGTCGTTCTCCGAGCCCCTCCCTGATCGAGCGTCCAGCACTTTCTGATGATCGCTCCGGCCGGTGCCGGTGCGAGTGCTCGTTATGAGGTTATCGTCCGTCTTGCCGCTGCCCACCGTTTGCTTGCGACGCCTGTGGTCCGGCCCGCCGCCTTTGGGCGGCTGCTTTCCTTCCTGGCGGTGACGAGCGAGCGGAGCCTGATCGTTCGGCTGATGGCGGTCCTTGTTCTTGTCAAACAAGCGTCTGCCGTCTTTGGTCCAGAAGACAGCGAGCGGAGGCGGGAATGCGTAGACGTCCACCTCGTACAGGGGCGAGCTCAAGAGCATTGCAGACTCATCGGGGCCTATGTGAGGCCGAACGCGGACAAACCCCTTGTCTGCGGAAGAACAAGTAAATGTTAGTTGGTGATAACAGTAGGGGGCCGTCCATAAATGACGTCACGCGATTTTGGACGATTTTTGACTCCGCCTCCCCCACCCCCCTTCGTCACAAGGCGTCACAAAAAGTCAGACCCCCCCCCCCCCTCAAATATGACGTCACAAAGCTCTGCCTTCCCCCCCCTCCCTCGTCACAAATGTCTGACCCCCCCCCCTAGGCGCGTGACGTCATTTATGGACGGCCCCTTACGTGAGATCCACGGCAGAGGTGTTTGCGGTTGTGCTGCGTTTAGCTTTCCTGTGGGTTTTCGGGTTGTACCAAAGTCTGACAGTTCTGCTGTCAGCACGTGGAGTGAAACGGGAGACCAACATGCCCAGCATGTTTACAGCCCTTTGTCGATCCACTGCTGGATGACGGCGTCCTCACACACTGCGCCAGTCGTGGGAGTTGTTTGGCCATGCTTGACTGCTCAGTGTGAATTGATGAAGGGAGGTGTCCAGGGCAGATTCAGGTATCACTCGTCATGGCTGACACTGGCGGAGCCACTGGAGGGGGTGGAGTGGCACGTGCTCCCCCAGTGATCCGATCGAAATCCCTCATTTCGATCGGATCAGTGGGGTTTATTAGTAATAAATCGGCATTTTGTGACCCCCCCACTGCCACTGTGTAGGATTTTATTACGTGCCAGGGACTCTATGAAATGACAGGACAATAGTCTGAGTCCATAATTGGCAATAAGTAACGGCAAAGCAGTTATAAGTGACTCACAGAATTGTGCGCAATTGTGTATACAGTCCACGACTTTCCTGAAAGCATCAACACCTTCAGCGAGCGTGGTGCCAATCACACAACGCGGTTCCAATTCGACCCTCGATCGATGGCTGCGTCATCGCCACACATGCATCGAGTAACAAGCAAGGGACAAGTCCTTACTAACAACTCCTTACTTACTAACAACTCCTTACTTACTAACAACTCCTTACTTACTAACAACTCCTTACTAGCAACTCCTTACCAACTAACAACTCATTACTTACTAACAACTCCTCACTAACTGACAACTCCTTACTAACAACTCCTTACTTACTAACAACTCCTCTATAATTTTTCATTGCTGGAGGGATTGCCCCCCCTACCTGAAAGTTCTGGCTCCGCCATTGATGGCTGGGAATTTAACTCAAGTCACTGGGTTCAAACCACTGCACCACTGCTCCACAATAATGTAAGGGGACGTCCATAAATGACGTCACGCGATTTTGGACGAGTTTTGCCTCCCCCCCTCGTCACACGGCGTCACAAAAAGTCAGACACCCCTCAAATATGACGTCACAAAGCTTTGCCCCCGCCCCCCACAAAATAAAACATGCTTCCAATCGCTTTAAACTATTGTCATTGTAGTGCGTATTTAATGTGGCGCTGCACTCTGATATTGTAGGAGAAAACATTTATTTTAAAAAGTCTATTTAATTAAGTAGAACGTGTTGTCTATATTTATTTAAAGTTGCGAATTTTGATGTGACGTCACATTTCTCAACCCCCCCCCCCCCGTCACAAATGTCTGAGCCCTCCCCCCCTAGGTGCGTGACGTCATTTATGGACTGCCCCTAATTATATTCAAGTCAATTAGCATTCACTTTTGTGAGCATTCATATATCCAATAATTATGATACGGTAATATTAATTGCTCATTCATAATTGGACATAATCGTACAATACATTTACAAAGGTTTTGTATTTGCACGGTTGCTGGCAGTTCTACTAGCCATCGCACCACGTTACGTCCTCTGGATTGCCAAACAACAAGAGTTCGAGCCCCGCTCACAGCCAACATCGTTCGTCCTTTCCTAGGTCGACTCAGCCTCAAATGAGTACCCGGTAAGGTGTGCAAAGGCGGTCGGGCGTGGTACCGTCCGCCCACCCCCCATATTTACGCATACCATGCCAGCCTTCATAGGCGCTCGCGAACAGCATTAGCCCCGATAGTTTGTTTGGAGGCTACCCGGGAGACCTTTGTCTGTGTGCGGAGCCACGTATCGTGGATTCGCTCACCCAGCACGGCGATGTGCGTGCTCTCGTTCGCCTGTCCGTACGAATTCTCGGTCATGCACGTGTACACGCCGGCGTCGAGCTCGTCGGCCAGCGGCACGGTCAGCGTGTGCACGATCTGCATGCCGCCGGGAACGCGCCTCTCCAGCACGCTCGTGCGCGCTGTGCCCTCACCGACCTGCGCACGCAACACCGAACCGCCAACACAGTGAGGGCGGCATTGCGTGGCGCGCATCGCCACTGGCATCACTCCTGTGATGGCGGTGATGTTTCCGTGTTTGTTTCCCCGTGGTGGAGGATGAGGTGGCGAGCAAGGAGGTCATCATGGTCAACTCTGGTGATTCCACCACAACCGTTTGTTTTTCATCCCATCTTTCCGCTCAATGCCAACAATTGTCGTTTTAAAGGCCTACACCCACTGGTCAAGTTCTGCTCTTACAGTCTGCCAACATCTGGCTTTAGGTATTCCCTTTAGTCTCGGTCACCTGCCCCCCTCCACCCATTGTAACCTTCTTTTCCTGATTACATCTTCAATACTGTCTTTCCATGTTCCACTCTAAACTGTCAAGTCGTCTCCATAAATCGCTCCATGTAACTACGAGTAGCCTCTGAATGTCCCTGTGCGCAGACGTTAGGAGCTTCCTTTCCCTTTATTTAAAGTGAAATTTTTGACATCGCTGAGTGACACAGATATTACTCCAGCCTCAATCCCTCATCTTGTAACTCAGGGTGACAACTGTGCTCTTCCAAACTCATGTGATTAGACCTTTGAGAAAGCATTCCCTGCTCTCAAGGTCTACGTCGCTTGACCTGATTCTTGCAATCCTCAGTGCATTACGGCACATGCCAGCGTATATATGCATGGCACATTGGCACGTCAAGTCGTTCACTACACTCCCACTTCCTACTTACAACTGTCGTCGATCTTGTCTTAGGGACGTTCACAGTAAAACCCCAATGTTCAACATCGTTGCGTAAAACTTCAAACGGTGACAATGTTGCCGGTCAAGGTCCCGGTCTTCGAAGTGGGGGGTACTCTACCCATAGCGCCCCCCCCCCCCCACAGTCGCCCCCCTCCCCGTCTAAATTATTTGTGAGCCTGAGATACAGCAATAGTTACCAACATTCTCATGACATGCTTTGTATGTACCGTATTTTAAACTTTGTTTGCACCATATGCAGCCAACCATGCAAATAGGAGGTGCCTGGAATTTGAGGAGCGGAAGTTGGTCCCTCTGAGTTTTATATAGCCCAAATAAAAGATTAATCGCAAAGTGTACGTAACAAAAATGAAGCCCAATGGGCATTTATTGGGTACTGAATCCTGACACCTCTCCTCACTGCTCGTCAATGACAATTCCACATCGTCAATCCACACTTTCGCTCTTTCTCTCTTCTCGCCCCCCCCCCCCCCCCCCCCCCTTCACTGGAACAAACTTCCCTCTCCACATTAAGCAGTCTCAGTCACCTTCTCTCACTAGTTTATTGTTACCTCCAGCTCACCCCACGGCCCCTTAATCTCCCCCTCTTCAAATTCTCATTATAAATATAAAAAAACCGATGTTTTATTTTACCATGTAAGGCACACTGAGACGTATAGCTCTTTTTCAGAAGCGACCTGGCCACAAATGATCGCTCAACGAAGTGGCTTATCACGTGGAAATTTATACCAACCAAATACCGTAACCTAAACGCGTGTTTCTAAAGGTGGAGGGTACAACCGGAGGACCCGGAGAAACATCCACACGACCACGGGGAGAGAGACACGCAAACTCCACATCTACAGCAGCAGGCATCGTCAGGGTTGGGATCGAACCCACGGCCTCCTGTACACCAGGCGAGGTAGTTAACATCTCCCAGTCCACCGTGATGATGATGAGAGAGAGATAGACACGCAAACTCCACATCTACAGCAGCAGGCATCGTCAGGGTCGGGATCGAACCCACAGCCTCCTGTACACCAGGCGAGGTAGTTAACATCTCCCAGTCACCGTGATGATGATGAGAGAGATAGACACGCAAACTCCACATCTACAGCAGCAGGCATCGTCAGGGTCGGGATCGAACCCACGGCCTCCTGTACACCAGGCGAGGTAGTTAACATCTCCCAGTCCACCGTGATGATGAGAGAGAGAGATAGACACGCAAACTCCACATCTACAGCAGCAGGCATCGTCAGGGTCGGGATCGAACCCACAGCCTCCTGTACACCAGGCGAGGTAGTTAACATCTCCCAGTCACCGTGATGATGATGAGAGAGAGATAGACACACAAACTCCACATCTACAGCAGCAGGCATCGTCAGGGTCGGGATCGAACTCACGACCTCCTGCGTACCGGGCGAGGGAGAAGAACATCTCCTAGCCACCGTAGCTGTGCGTAGTTATCACTCATTCCCCATTCATTCAATCCATTCATCATCATTCACTGTCATGAATTTCGCTTTCACCGAATTCACGCATCGTCACGGATTCGCCCCCATTGCTTCCTCTCATCCATTTTATTCACCTCACCTCCACCGTCACATCCAAGGCGCTTTATAAAGTACGTTTCGAAAAGATAATAATTCAAGGGCACGTAATGATAATAATCATGATAGCCGAAGCACAAGGGCCATACCGGCATGCGAGGGTGCCTCCAGGTGAACATGACGATGTCGTTGCCCGTCACGGTGCACGTGACCGTGATTGTGTCGCCACGCAGGACCACGGCACGCGGCGAGGTCACCACGGGACGGAGCTGTGAGACTGTGGACACACACACACAGTCAGCCACAGGCGGAGACACACACACACACAGTCAGCCACAGGCAGAGACACACACACACAGTCAGCCACAGGCGGAGACACACACACAGTCAGCCACAGGCGGAGACACACACACACAGTCAGCCACAGGCGGAGACACACACACACACAGTCAGCCACAGGCAGACACACACACACACAGTCAGCCACAGGCGGAGACACACACAGTCAGCCACAGGCGGAGACACACACACACACAGTCAGCCACAGGCGGAGACACACACACACACAGTCAGCCACAGGCAGACACACACACAGTCAGCCACAGGCAGACACACACACACAGTCAGCCACAGGCAGACACACACACACACAGTCAGCCACAGGCGGAGACACACACACACACAGTCAGCCACAGGCGGAGACACACACACACAGTCAGCCACAGGCAGACACACACACACACAGTCAGCCACAGGCACACACACACACAGTCAGCCACAGGCAGAGACACACACACACACAGTAAGCCACAGGCGGAGACACACACACACACAGTCAGCCACAGGCGGAGACACACACACACAGTCAGCCACAGGCGGAGACACACACACACAGTCAGCCACAGGCGGACACACACACACACAGTCAGCCACAGGCGGAGACACACACACACAGTCAGCCACAGGCAGACACACACACACACACAGTCAGCCACAGGCGGACACACACACACACACAGTCAGCCACAGGCGGAGACACACACACACACACAGTCAGCCACAGGCGGAGACACACACACACACAGTCAGCCACAGGCAGACACACACACACACAGTCAGCCACAGGCAGAGACACACACAGTCAGCCACAGGCGGAGACACACACACACACAGTCAGCCACAGGCGGAGACACACACACACACACAGTCAGCCACAGGCAGACACACACACAGTCAGCCACAGGCAGACACACACACACAGTCAGCCACAGGCGGAGACACACACACACAGTCAGCCACAGGCGGAGACACACACACACACAGTCAGCCACAGGCAGACACACACACACACAGTCAGCCACAGGCACACACACACACAGTCAGCCACAGGCAGAGACACACACACACACAGTCAGCCACAGGCGGAGACACACACACACACAGTCAGCCACAGGCGGACACACACACACACAGTCAGCCACAGGCGGAGACACACACACACAGTCAGCCACAGGCGGACACACACACACACACAGTCAGCCACAGGCGGAGACACACACACACAGTCATCCACAGGCAGACACACACACACACAGTCAGCCACAGGCAGACACACACACACAGTCAGCCACAGGCAGACACACACACACACAGTCAGCCACAGGCGGACACACACACACACAGTCAGCCACAGGCGGAGACACACACACACAGTCAGCCACAGGCGGACACACACACACACAGTCAGCCACAGGCAGAGACACACACACACAGTCAGCCACAGGCAGACACACACACACACACTCAGCCCCAGGCGGACACACACACACACACAGTCAGCCACAGGCGGAGACACACACACACACAGTCAGCCACAGGCGGACACACACACACAGTCAGCCACAGGCGGAGACACACACACACACAGTCAGCCACAGGCAGACACACACACACAGTCAGCCACAGGCAGAAACACACACACACACACACAGTCAGCCACAGGCGGAGACACACACACACACAGTCAGCCACAGGCGGAGACACACACACACAAAGTCAGCCACAGGCAGACACACACACACACAGTCAGCCACAGGCAGAGACACACACACACAGTCAGCCACAGGCAGAGACACACACACACACAGTCAGCCACAGGCGGAGACACACACACAGTCAGCCACAGGCGGACACACACACACAGTCAGCCACAGGCGGAGACACACACACACAGTCAGCCACAGGCGGACACACACACACACAGTCAGCCACAGGCGGAGACACACACACACAGTCAGCCACAGGCAGACACACACACACAGTCAGCCACAGGCGGACACACACACACACACAGTCAGCCACAGGCGGAGACACACACACACAGTCAGCCACAGGCGGAGACACACCCACACAGTCAGCCACAGGCGGACACACACACACAGTCAGCCACAGGCGGAAACACACACACACAGTCAGCCACAGGCGGAGACACACACACAGTCAGCCACAGGCGGAGACACACACACAGTCAGTCACAGGCGGAGACACACACACACAGTCAGCCACAGGCAGAGACACACACACACACAGTCAGCCACAGGCGGAGACACACACACACAGTCAGCCACAGGCGGACACACACACACAGTCAGCCACAGGCGGACACACACACAGAGCCTGCCACACGTGGAGACACACACACAGACAGCCACAGGCGGAGACACACACAGCCTGCCACACGAGGAGACACACACACAGCCTGCCACACGAGGAGACACACACACACACAGCCTGCCACACGAGGAGACACACACACACAGCCTGCCACACGAGGAGAAACACAGTCAGCCACACGAGGAGACACACACACAGTCAGCCACAGGCGGACACACACACAGTCAGCCACAGGCGGAGACACAAACACAGCCAGCCACAGGCGGTGACACACACACACACAGCCTGCCACACATACACACAGCCTGCCACACGAGGAAACACACACACACACAGTCAGCCACAGGCGGACACACACACAGTCAGCCACAGGCGGAGACACCCACACAGTCAGCCACACGAGGAGACACACACACAGTCAGCCACAGGCGGAGACACCCACACAGTCAGCCACACGAGGAGACACACACAGTCAGCCACAGGCAGAGACACACACACACAGTCAGCCACACGAGGAGACACACACACACAGTCAGCCACAGGCAGAGACACACACACATAGCCAGCCACAGGCGGAGACATACAAACACAGTCAGCCACAGGCGGAGACACACACACACACAGCCTGCCACACGAGGAGACACACACACAGTCAGCCACAGGCGGAGACACACACACAGTCAGCCACAGGCAGACACACACACACACAGTCACAGGCGGACACACACAGTCAGCCACAGGCGGAGACACACACACACAGCCTGCCACACATACACACAGCCTGCCACACGAGGAGACACACACACACACAGTCAGCCACAGGCGGACACACACACAGTCAGCCACAGGCGGAGACACCCACACAGTCAGCCACACGAGGAGACACACACACAGCCACAGGCGGAGACACACACACAGTCAGCCACACGAGGAGACACACACACAGTCAGCCACAGGCAGAGACACACACACACAGCCAGTCACAGGCGGAGACATACAAACACAGTCATCCACAGGCGGAGACACACACACAGTCAGCCACAGGCAGACACACACACAGTCACAGGCGGACACACACAGTCAGCCACAGGCGGAGACACACACACAGCCTGCCACACGAGGAGACACACACACAGTCAGCCACACGAGGAGATACACACACACAGCCTGCCACACGAGGAGACACACACACAGCCAGCCACACGAGGAGACAGACACACACAGCCTGCCACACGAGGAGACACACACACACACACACAGTCAGCCACAGGCAGACACACACACACACACAGTCACAGGCGGACACACATAGTCAGCCACAGGCGGAGACACACACACAGCCTGCCACACGAGGAGACACACACACAGCCACACGAGGAGACACACACACAAGCCTGCCACACGAGGAGACACACACACAGCCTGCCACACGAGGAGACACACACACAGCCACACGAGGAGACACACACACAAGCCTGCCACACGAGGAGACACACACACAGCCTGCCACACGAGGAGACAGACACACACAGCCTGCCACACGAGGAGACACACACACAGTCAGCCACACGAGGAGACAGACACACACATCTCACTGGAGTGGTATTGTGCCCGTCAGCACATCTTAAGCACTAATATGTACCACATGTAGTGAGCTGGTATTCATGGCCTTGCGTCTGCTAGCTTGCAAACACATACGAATCTGGAAAGATCAATTGTGTCTCAATGTGGAGCTGATAGCACTGGAGATGTCATTCATTATTTTGTATAACTACCAGGTGAAATTATTGTATGTTTAGATGTTTTTTCTTGTCGTGCACTATGAGATGTGTCGTGAAACAGAGAATCCATTTGGAAATCTAAACAGAGCAGTTCCGAGAACCACGTGCCCGATAATGGTTGTGCAACAGATTTCCAGACATTCTTCTGAATAACCTTTCAACTGGCCTTTTAAAATAACACCAATCTAAACACACTACGGTGGGTACTTTCACAGACACTCTTCTATGAGATTAATGTCTGATGCTTTACAGTGAAACCGACATTTTAATTCCGGTTGTCGATTAAAACGATGCGGCATTTGAGGCGTGTCCTGATAAAAAAAAATATAATCCACATATTTACAATTTTAAAGATAATCTATGCATTCCTCATTGGAACACTTTACAGCCCACATCTGACATTTTGATCAACCCCCAATCATCTCGCCCACAGACGGCTGGCTGCCCAATAACTACTCAAAAAAATGTCTTTCTTCATTCACTTATTCCTTCTCCTCTCAACAGAATTGCTGCCAGATGGACAATAAGATTGTGTGTGGGCTATCAAGTCGGTGCCGACGGCGGCGATTGCGTTGGCGCACCGGCGAGCACCATCACGTGGTACTCTTCCGACTCCTGCGTGCGCCCCTCCAGACGTGCGATGCAGCGATAGCGCCCGGGCAGCAGGAACGCCCGCAGGCCCACGCCGGGCACGTACCACACTGCCCGGCGTGGGGCCCCCGCGCTCGGCACCGCGGCGGCGAACGACGCTCCGCCGGATTCGGCGAGGTGGACGGTGGTGACGTTCGAAGAGGGCCCTGTGCTCGCCGCAACATTGTAAGGCAGCCCGGCGTTGCCATTGATCTTGCCTTCCAGGTTTTGGGCGTAATCGGCAGCGTTACCGTTGGGCAGGGGCTGTTTTTTAAGTTCATCGGTGGGGGTGTTTGAGGAGTGCGTGCTTTGGTTCGTTACAGTTTGGTGTTGTAGCGTTTGGGCGCCTCGTTGCATCTGGCGCGTGACGCTTTCTCCGGCTGCTACGTCGTTCCTGTGCGTGGTTGCGGACGGTCGAGGCGCTGTGCTGCCGCTGTCAGGCGTGGTGGCGGCGGCGGCGGTGGCGGCGGCGTCGTGACGGAGCGACACCGAAGTGTGTGGCGACGTGACGAGGCACGGCAGAGTCGCCACGTCCCCGGCGTGCACAATCACCACCTGCGCGTGCTCACTCAGCGAGGGCTTGAACAGCGAGCGCCCGTCTGGAAGGCGCGCACAGCGACAAGCAGCGTTGGCACCCTGGCGGCGAGGAACCCGAATATCGAGTGAAACGTCACTCCGAGTGGAACACTTGTTTTCAGTAGGCGTCTCGAGGTCAGTCGTAGCGCGCTGTCGGGAAAGAGTTCCATGTTCCCGTCAATAAGGGAAAACGATGACCTATTTTGGCCGTATGGACTGGCGCGGTGGGTTGACACTTTTCCTGGTTTTCCCAGTACCGTCTCTTTTTTTTAAGGTAGCTGTCCTTGGGAAAATCCATTAATAACATTCAAAGTCCCAATCACATCGTGACCCCAACACATAAAGCATGTCACTTGATTCACAGCATCTTCCGTCTGCACCTCCTTCCCCACACCCCTGATCTGCCCTTAGAATGCTGGTTACTTCCTCAATACCCCTCCTTCCCACCCTCATCCCCCATCGAAAGACCCCCTAAGGGTGGGCACCTTCCCCACACCTAGACGTGTTTGTTCAAGCGCCGAAAATCCTCCCCCAAGAAACCATCGACGCTTTGTATCGGACTTGCGTGCTCACCATAATAAAAAAAACCATTGAAGAAAAACAGTTCCAGTTACACGTTGTTGTTGTTCTGCCTTCTTATGTCCAAGATGTGTCCTCGTTTTTTGTACCTTCAGAGGTGGCAACACTGCTGCCATAACAGGAACGTTCAGTGAACAACCGTTTAGGCTATCGAGGAGTTGGTGTGGCGAGCAACACACCGGCCACCCTAAGTTACCCATTGGAGGCCGTGGATAGGGAGTGATTACGCTTAACAATGAGATGCAGGTCAGATATAAAACCCAATGATTATTCACGTAAACTAAAAACAAAACGTATTTTGCGAACGAAACATTTCATTTACCAAACTTTAAAAGACCGTCGTAAAAAAACGTTGCTTTGTTGACACAGGTGACGATGATGATCATGATGATGGTCGTGACATTGATGATGATGATGATGTAAAACTTACCTTGCACATAAACTCTCACAGTGGCACCTTGTGGCTCTGTCCCATCAGTGACGTCAGCGTCATCGTATCGACTCATGTCTTCGTGATGATACTGACACGTGTACACACCATTGTGTTGCAGCGTCGCATTCTCAATTCGTAGCCAAGTTGAAAACAAGCCGAATTCAGGTATGGCTTCTGTCTGAAAGTGAAGATGTCAAGAACGTAAAATGATTTTGTGACGTGCAGAAAGGTTCAACAAGAAAGCCTCCCATAATCCGAAGAAGACGTTTTAGGGGGTTCCCGGAGGTTGGTTTTCCCCTCCACATATAGAAACAGTATTTGGCTGCAATACATTTCCACATGATACGCCACTACATTGAGCTATCATTTGTGGCCAAATCGCTTCTGCAAAAGAGCTATTTAGCTCAGTGGGCCTTAGGGGGCGTCCATTAATTACGTCACGCACCTGGGTGTGACGAGAGGGGGGGGTGAGAAATGTGACGTCACATCAAAATGCGCAACTTTAAATAAATATAGACAACACGTTCTACTTAATTAAATATACTTCTTAATAAATGTTTTCTCCTACAACATCAGAGTGCAGCGCCACATTAAATACGCACTACAATGACAATAGTTTAAAGCGATTTGAAGCATGTTTTATTTTTGGGGGGGGGCAGAGCTTTGTGACGTCATATTTGAGGAGGGGTCTGACTTTTTGTGTGACGAAGGGGGGGGGGGTCAAAAATCGTCCAAAATCGCGTGACGTCATTTATGGACGGCCCCTTTCCTGGTAAAATATATATTTTTAAATGTTTGGGTAAATTATATTTACAAGTTGCATGTGGGATGAAAATGGAGTACTCTTTGTTCTCTCGGTAAAGTCACGTAGAAAGAAAAATGATTAAATAATAGAATACGATGTTTCGATTGCAACACAAGCAACCATCATCAGGTATGAATGAATGAGAAAACAAACCTAGTAAACTTAGGCATGTAACGCAATACAGCACAGAGAGTCGGCTAACACAACAGTCAACACCCTACCTGGTTGATTACGTTCTTGCAAAGAGTGATACATTTGAGAGAGGCAAAATACAGACACGGAGACGCACAGACAGACACATAAGGAGAGATATAACACAGAGACACAGAGAGAGACACACAACATAGACACACAGACACACAAGCAGAGAGAGACAACACAGAGACACACAGAGAGAGACACACAACATAGACACACAGACAGACACACAAGCAGAGAGAGACAACAGAGAGACACACAGAAAGAGAGAGAGACACACAACATAGACACACAGACAGACACACAAGCAGAGAGAGACAACACAGAGACAGACAGAGAGACACACAACATAGACACACAGACAGACACATAAGTAGAGGATAACACAGAGACACAGAGAGAGACACACAACATAGACACACAGACAGACACACAAGCAGAGAGAGACAACACAGAGACACAGAGAGAGACACACAACATAGACACACAGACAGACACACAAGCAGAGAGACAACACAGAGACAGAGAGAGACACAAAACATAGACACACAGACATACACACAAGCAGAGAGAGACAACACAGAGACAGAGAGAGAGACTCACAACATAGACACAGACAGACACAAGCAGAGAGACAACACAGAGACACACAACATAGACACACAGACAGACACACAAGCAGAGAGAGACACACAAGCAGAGAGAGACAACACAGAGACACACAACATAGACACACAGACAGACACACAAGCAGAGAGAGACAACACAGAGACACACAGAGAGACACACAACATAGACACACAGACAGACACACAAGCAGAGAGAGACAACACAGAGACAGAGAGAGAGACACACATGCACAGACAGACACACAAGCAGAGAGAGACAACACACAGACACACACAGAGAGACACACAACATAGACACACAGACAGACACACAAGCAGAGAGACAACACAGAGACACAGAGAGAGAGAGACACACAACATAGACACACAGACAGACACATAAGCAGAGAGATAACACAGAGACACAGAGAGAGAGACACACAACATAGACACACAGACAGACACACAAGCAGAGAGAGACAACACAGAGACACACAGAGAGAGACACACAACATAGACACACAGACAGACACACAAGCAGAGAGAGACAACACAGAGACACACAGAGAGAGACACTCAACATAGACACACAGACAGACACACAAGCAGAGAGAGACAACACAGAGACAGAGAGAGACACAAAACATAGACACACAGACAGACACACAAGCAGAGAGAGACAACACAGAGACAGAGAGAGAGACTCACAACATAGACACAGACAGACACACAAGCAGAGAGACAACACAGAGACACACAACATAGACACAGACAGACACACAAGCAGAGAGAGACACACAAGCAGAGAGAGACAACACAGAGACACACAACATAGACACACAGACACACAAGCAGAGAGAGAGATAACACAGAGACACAGAGAGAGAGAGACACACAACATAGACACACAGACAGACACACAAGCAGAGAGAGAGATAACACAGAGACACAGAGAGAGAGAGAGACACACACATAGACACACACACAGACACACAAGCAGAGAGATAACACAGAGACACAGAGAGAGACACACAACATAAACACACAGACAGACACACAAGCAGAGAGATAACACAGACACACAGAGAGAGACACACACATGCACAGACACATAAGCAGAGAGACAACACAGAGACACAGAGAGAGATAAAACTAACTTAAATCCTCCCCATAGAGGTGGTTTAAACTTTATTTGAAGCTTTCGTGACTGCAGGAATAACTTTTTGGTTCTTTCGGTAAAGTCACGTAGACTGTTATGTTAGCCGACTCTCTGTGTTGCATTGCATTATATTTCTAAGTTTACTGATGATGATTGCTTGTGTTGCAATCGAAACGTTGTATGCTATTATTTAATTTATTTTTTTCTTTCTACGTGACTTTACCGAAAGAACCACAAAGTAATTCCTGCAGTCACGAAAGCTCCAAATCAATTTTGCAAATGTAGTACCTGGACAAAACCTATGCATAGGAGGGGATAACACCCAAAGCTCCACACAGTTAGATTCAAAATGTCATTACTGTACTTCCATCTCCTGGCCATCTAACAGCCCAAGGCGATAACAATTGGAATTCACTGGCAGTCTCCCATCCTGCACTGCGTTTCCCCTTCAGCATCACACTCAATAAAACTCTGGTAAACATCTTCCCTGGAATGCTCAATAAGATATCTAGGTACAGATATTGCATTCACTGCTTACATATTACCACGAAAAACATCACCTCGCTCCAACATTCTACTTGATAAAGTGTATTTAACAAAGGCTTACTTTTAATGGCTTTCATTAAACTCCGTAAATAAGCAATATTAATAATAAAGTACGTGGGTACATATTGATCGGGATCTAACTGAACTGTAAGAGTATCAGGCTGCCAATTACGAGATGCCAAGTTCAAATCCAGGTCACCCCACTCGAGTGAGCACAACGTGGAGCAGCTTGTGGAGGCTGCCGTTTGTGATCACAACGGCGTGGCATGGACCCCTTGCAACACAGCGCAGGACCGTGAATACAGGCAGCAGCGTTCATATTTGAAATGATAATAGCGAAGAAAATATTATTTTTGTAACGAAGAGTTGAATTTACTGGAGTCAACGATGAATGTGAGCGGGTTGAGTTTGGTCATTCATGACGATGAGTACGACCACTGGCCTTGACGGGATTCCGTTCGTCCGAATGAAGACGCGGGTTAAGATAATTTAGTAAAGTTATTTAGGTAGTGCAGAATAACACACGGGTCCTCATAAAGCAGTCTGACGATGTAGCCATTGAATGAGGTGCTGACTCTCCATCGGAGGTTGCTTGAGATTGAGCAGCTGATTTAATCTCGATTTGAAGCTTTCGTGACTGGTTCTATCGGTAAAGTCACGTGGTAGGTAGAAAATAAAATGAATCACGACGCTTCGATCGCAACACAAGCGTCCGTCATCAGGCAGAAAAAGTATAATCCAGCAGTGGAAGCAGCTGAACTAGCGAGAGAGCTGCTCCAACAACAACAAGGAGCCTATAGATGTGGCGATGGGCAAGCAAGCGAGGTCAGATTCAATCTGCGCGCTGTTGCACGAATTGCGAAAAAAATCAGCAGCTGCTTTGCCATTCAAACGCAGTCGTAATATGTTGATGGCACCGTCAGCCAAGAAATTATTCTGGAAATGAATCGCGAAACCGTCCGACCAAATCTAGGGCGTGAGGAGTCAAATCTTGCCCTTTGGAACAAGCAGCAGCAGCAGCCAGTCGTCATCAGGCTGGGCGCTGCACTACGCCAAGAGTCTGTGAAACTTCGTGTGAGCTGCTCAGAACATTCGCCGTCCGACTATTTCGACATCACAAGGACTGCTGTTGACGCTCCCCACGAAACTTTATGACCACGGTTGCGAATCGCGGGAAAATAAATCATTATTGCGAAGATTTTTTTTTTAATACCGCGCACCAGTATACAGACCTGGTAATGGGGGGGGGGGGGGTGTGCGTCCCTCACACCAACATTTAATAACTAAGAGTGGACTAAATGTTTGACTGCTTTCAGTTGACGAGACAAAGGGAATGATTCAATGAAATCCACAGACTGAGATACGATTCGAATTCCAGAGGCTGTTGTCGACTGGAATAAGACTGTGACTGAAATGTAATCAAATGCTGCCCGAATGGAATACTGGTAGACAAGGCATTACTCACAGCTCTTCTAAAAAAAGGGGAGACTGACATCAAATTGAATAACACGTCAGTGTTAACATCAACAAATATGTGGGTATGAACTATCATCCCGCACCTACGATTTGCACGGTTGGCTATGTATGGTGCAAAATAAGCTAAAAATACATATTTACATCACATCTGTCAAGAAAAAACAATGGTGATACTCAAAGTAAAGTAGGCTCGATTATCCGCGTTAATGGCAGGGATAATCCGAAAAAAAACCCCACTTTCCACGGATCGCTATGCCAAAAAACACAAATAAAGGTATAAATTAGCAATTGATGCGCGTACTCAGTGATAACAACTTTCCTGCTCCCGCGCGGAAGACCCACAAAGTGGACGGCAGAGCCACGCCAATCAACGTGAATCAAACTCCGCCCACTGTTGTAAACATCTGAAACTACTGTACTGTAGAGGCGACCACGTGAATTTCGGATTATCCGGAGCACATATTTGCGCGGTTTATGCACGTGACTTGTAATAAACATTTAATAGAATTAACAATGTGTAACTGTTTTTAGATGATTCATTTGGGTTTAAGGGAAATGCCATGAGTTATTCATCCATGTGAAAATCTCAGGTGATCGGTTAATCCGCAAACCGGATAAACCGCACGCGGATAATCGAGGGTCTCCTGTAATGCCTTTATACGAGTTTTAGACACGATGTGGGAATGTGGCCTAACGGTGAGCATCTGCGTGCCCTCGCCACCGACTCAGGCGAGGCATGCCCACCGCAGAGCACGATAATTACTCATAATTGCTTACTGTGTAAACTAGGAAACGTGACTCATCTCAGTTGCATGTTCGCCACCAATTGCAGAGGCTTGAAGTAATCACATTTTGTGCACAGAGAACGTAATGTCCAACCAAAACATTCTGTATATACAAAAATGCTAATGCTGCTGTTTTGCCCTTTACAAAACCACGTAACCCGTGGCACACCCGGGGACGCGACGGACATAGAGAAGGAAGGCGCAAGCAAACTGAGCTTGCACGGAGCGGCGTACGTTTTCACAGGGGGCGGGGAAAGAGGTGGGTGGCCACACACGAGGCACGGGAGGCTTTCGAGATGATCTGGATACTGAATATTGATACACCACGCACTCGAATGGAGCAACCTGATGCATTGCTCGAGAATGTCAACATGTTTGGTCAACTTAATTGCTGTTAGCTATCCAGTTTTAAACGTTTAATCGTATTGAACAATCATGTACTTTTGCATTTTTAAACATCACATCAGGCATATTCGGTAACAAACATAACATTGATAATAATAATAATTAATAAAACCAAGTGTTTCAACTCCCTTGTCTGCTGCGCAGGTGTAGTGAGTCCAACTGAGTCGCAGATGTTAACTTGGGAGCAGCACTATGTATTAACACAACAACACGAACATAACACAACCTACGCTCGGGTCTCGAATGCCCATCTAACCACGCTACAGCAGAACTAGACACGGTTCGCTATCCCAGTCCGGACCACAAGCTGGGTTCCGGACCACGTGGCTAGAGGCTTCTTCTCCCCGACGTGGATCTTCGAACACCAACACTGGAAGAACCCCGAGCTCCTCACGAGGCCCTCGTTATATGCCCCCGGGCTGGGGCTGGCTCCGCCCTTAGCCCCGCCCACCTTCCAGGCTCCTCGGGCCCCTTCTCGAATGTTCCCGAGAGCTCTCCGGGACCACGTGACCGCCCCTCGGCCCCCGTCCACCGGTGGCCCCCCTCCAGTATCGTCCGGTCACGTGACAACAGGTCAGCCAGAGTGTCATTCCCCAGAGTGACCCTGGCTGGCTGATGCTCCCCCTCGCTCCCTCACTGGGAGTCGGCACCGGAGGAAGGGCCTTTGCTATTGATGCCCCCAGGGTCTGGAATGCTATTGCCAATAAACTGCAACTTGAATCACTACCTATGCGATCTTCACTCAAAACTGCCCTAGAGGAGTTGTACACCCCTAGCTGCCACTGCTATTCATTGGCGTAAAATAATATAAAATGTTTCGCTCAGGATGACGCTGCAAAGTATTATCTGTATTTTGATTTAGTGTGCTGATCTTAAAGGTGCATTGAAAAATTTGATACTCCGACCGATGCTTCTGTTGTTGTGGAGTAACTCATGCAGACAGTTATGGCTCTAGGATTTGGTGTTACATGTTATTTATGTAGTTTATTGTTAAAAATTCGGTCACAGTTCCTATGATCACTGTTACATTGCATTTATGGCTTTATTTTGGTGATTTCTAAAAGTTCTTTGGTTTGGCCATGTTTTTGTTTATTGTAGTACGGAGTTAGACTGATGGCCTTCATATAAGTTTTCTTGTTGTTGTTGTTTGACTTGCATCCCACTGGGATTTTTGCACACAGCATTGGTGTACGGTGCTATTTCAGGAATATTTCAGCTGTTTTTTTCATGGATTTTCTGTTTGCACAGTCGCACATAATCACTTTAAGATGTTTTTCTTGTTCGTGTTTTTGTTTTTTTGTTTGTTGCGGTTGCACCCGATTCAAGAGCTGAATGGCTCACAGGGCTCTACCAAATAAATGAAACTATGAAACTCTGCTCGTGGTGCCTCTGCGCCAACCAGCGCTCACCCAACCACCGCTAGTGTTGGTACTGCAGCCCGCAACCCGGGCTGCCCACAATGACAACATTACCGGCCGTGACTTCGCAAGTCCCGGCACCACACAGTGACAATTACAGTCACTACACAGGCAACATATTATGGCAAAGCCTAATGATAATAAGAAAAAAAGCTCGCAAGGTCGGAGCAAAGGAACAAACAGAAAAAAAAGAAATATTAGGAAATGTCTCAATAGCCAACTACTGTAGTAGTAGTAGTAATAATAAAGCGCTCTTTATAACAACGCACCGCGCACACGACACAACATGTGTGGTGCCACCGCGGCGGAGCAGCTCCGTCGGGGGCCGTATTCACCACCGTGACACCGCCACCGGGGAGTGACGACGCCGACGCGACGCGGCGCGCCCCTACCCCCCCACATGTATATACACACACCCCACGTAGGGCCGGGAGGGAAGGTTACCTGGCCGACGGGTTTTTATCCAGAAGCCCCTAATGGGATCAAGCTTCATGGTTTCCTGCGGCCGGGAAATTGTGCGACCTCCCCCCGAGGCCGACGCGCACCGTGGCGCCGTGACCTGACGTTAAAGTTGCGTGGTCACGGCGGAGGCCGCAGAGCCACCGCGAGCGAAACCGCACACACACGGCACGGGGCGTGGGAACCGCGAGATGCCTGCGGTTATAGGTGGAATTAGGAATTGAATGCTCTTGATTATAGGTGAGCTCCCGAGTCCAAATAACAACAGGATAGGAGCATTCAAGCCTCTGCATAGACAGGGCGGCGCGGGGCGGAAGCATCTGAATGTCTTTTGTTCTAGAAAATGTCACGGATCAGCATGTGAAAAAGGACGAAAATAACTCAGCCTCTGAATGGACAGGGCGGTGCGGAGCGTGGGAACCACGGTACGCCTTTGTCATTAGTAATATTACAGATCTGAATATGAAGGAGCACGGGTGGGCAGGCGCCAGAGCAACGGAATGCCTTTAGGGTGTATAAAATACGGAGGCTTAGCGTAGCAAGCAACAGTCTTCTTCAAAAATCATCGCGGTCCACGCAGGAGGGGAGTCAGCCCTTCGAGACGTCCGCGTGACAAACTTCAGCGCAGCCAGGCTCAACCCTCTACGGATCGCTTTTCTACAGCTTCCAGCGCAGCAGAGTGGAAGCACGCGTGAGTAAGAGAGGTAAATTTGGGCTATTTGATCGAGGGTAGAAAGCAGAGCGATAGGCAGAGGAAATACAGTCTAGGATCCCAAGGGGAATAGGCTGACATCCACGGACCCACACAATTACGCATAGCTTAACGGGTCGCTCGTGGTAAATAAAATATCTGGTAGGGGAATAAACTGTGTCGTGTGGTCGTTCGGAGGGTGAAGAGGAGGGTGGAGAGTGTTTTGTGTTCGCGTGCATACGCGGCTGTTTGCGGCGACTAAGGCAGTAGAGCGTGCTTGGTGTCCGTACGTGTACGATCGTTTACAGTATTGTTCAGTGCGCGCGTGCCTACACGAATATTTTCGGTGGTGCCCAGCGCTCGCGTACCTGCGCAATTGCCTACAGTAACGCTTTGCGCTCGCGTGCATGCGCGGTTGTTTACAACGAGGCGGAGCGCTTAGCGTGCGTGTGCCTACGCGTCTGGTTTCGGTGGCGTTTAGCGCTCGCGTACCTGTACGATTGTTTACAGTAGCGCTTAACGCTCGCGTGCCTGTGTGACGGGGTGGCGGTCGGGCACCCGCGGGATTGTCTAATAGCGAGGTAGCAAATTAAGCGCCTAGCGTGCGCGAATACGCAGCTGTGTAAACGGCCCGTTAAATCGGAGCAAAGTAATCGCGACGTGTTTGTTTTTGCTTAAGCGCGTGGAGCGTGGGTGGGAGGGAATCCCACGGCGACGCTCCGCGCCTGTTTATTCCCGTGCAGGACGGGGTTTTACTTTGCGAGCGCGCTCACCGCGGCACGCCGCCGTTGAAGTGTAGCGCATCGCAAGCGCAAAGCGTACGAGCCGCTAATTAAGCTACGCGGTCGACATCCCAGGCAGAGGTACAGGGGGGCGAGACATTAGGGGTCGGTAGTCTGGACCTGACAGAGCAGCCGGGGGGTAGCGGTATGAATGGAACGGGGGAGTCGGTGGGCAACGGCCCCGACAATTGGATTATGGTGGGGGACAGTAGCCCCCACACATGTAAGCGAAGAACAACAGCAGTGACAACAACAACAAGATCGTTTTCTACGGTGCATGCATCACGTTCGGCCAGAGCCACCAATGGGGGCTCTCTGGCACCCTCCTCACCTGCGACGTGGCTGTGGCTGCGGGCGGCGTTGAGACGGCGACGTTTCGAGGCTCGACCCAAACCACGCGGGCCGAGCCCTCACACTTGACGGCCAGCCTCTGCCCGACCTCCACGGTCACCTCGCTCGCGTTGGGGATCACGTGTGGAAGATCCAGAGCACAGCAGCCTGAACGTCGGCATTGAGAATACTTATTACAAAGGCGCCGGCGGTCCGTTTGTCCATGAACCCTACATACAATAGTCAGTAGTATCTACTACACACCCTACATACAATAGAGTCAGTAGTATCTACTACACATCCTACACACAATAGAGTTAGTAGTATCTACTACACACCCTACATACAATAGAGTCAGTAGTATCTACTACACACCCTACACACCATAGAGTTATTAGTATCTACTACACACCCTACATACAATAGAGTTAGTAGTATCTACTACACACCCTACATACAATAGAGTCAGAAGTGTCTACTACACACCCTACATACAATAGAGTCAGTAGTATCTACTACACACCCTACATACAATAGTCAGTAGTATCTACTACACACCCTACATACAATAGAGTCATTAGTTACTACTACACACCCTACATACAATAGAGTTAGTAGTATCTACTGCACATCCTACATACACTATAGAGTCAGTAGTATCTACTACACACCCTACATACACTAGAGTTAGTAGTATCTACTACACACCTTACACACTATAGAGTCAGTAGTGTATACTACACACCCTACATACAATAGAGTCAGTAGTATCTACTACACACCCTAAATACAGTAGAGTCAGTCGTATCTACTACACACCCTACATACAATAGAGTCAGTAGTGTCTACTACACACCCTACATACAATAGAGTTAGTAGTATCTACTACACACCCTATATACAATAGAGGCAGTAGTATCTACTACACACCCTACATACAATAGAGTTAGTATTATCTACTACACACCCTACATACAATAGTCAGTAGTATCTATTACACACCCTACATACAATAGAGTCAGTAGTATCTACTACACACCCTATATACAATAGAGGCAGTAGTATCTACTACACACTCTACGTACAATAGAGTTAGTAGTATCTACTACACACCCTACATACAATAGTCAGTAGTATCTACTACACACCCTACATACAATAGTCAGTAGTATCTACTACACACCCTACATACACTAGAGTTAGTAGTATCTACTACACACCATACACACTATAGAGTCAGTAGTATCTACTACACACCTTACACACTATAGAGTCAGTAGTATCTACTACACACCTTACACACTATAGAGTCAGTAGTATCTACTACACACCCTACATACAATATAGTCAGTAGTGTCTACTACACACCCTACATACAATAGAGTAAGTAGTATCTACTACACACCCTACATACAATAGAGTCAGAAGTATCTACTACACACCCTATATACAATAGAGATAGTAGTATCTACTACACACCCTACATACAATAGAGTCAGAAGTATCTACTACACACCCTACATACAATAGAGTCAGAAGTATCTACTACACACCCTACATACAATAGAATCAGAAGTATCTACTACACACCCTACATACAATAGTCAGTAGTATCTACTACACACTCTACGTACAATAGAGTTAGTAGTATCTACTACATACCCTACATACAATAGTCAGTAGTATCTACTACACACTCTACGTACAATAGAGTCAGTAGTATCTACTACACACCCTACATACAATAGTCAGTAGTATCTACTACACACCCTACATACAATAGTCAGTAGTATCTACTACACACCCTACATACAATACAGTCAGTAGTGTCTACTACACACCCTACATACAATAGTCAGTAGTATCTACTACACATCCTACATACAATATAGTCAGTAGTGTATACTACACACCCTACATACAATATAGTCAGTAGTGTCTACTACACACCCTACATATAATAGTCAGTAGTGTCTACTACACACCCTACATACAATATAGTCAGTAGTGTATACTACACACCCTACATACAATATAGTCAGTAGTATCTACTACACACCCTACATACAATAGAGTCAGTAGTATCTACTACACATCCTATATACAATAGAGTTAGTAGTATCTACTACACACCCTACATACAATAGTCAGTAGTATCTACTACACACCCTACATACAATAGAGTCAGTAGTATCTACTTCACACCCTACATACAATAGAGTCAGTAGTATCTACTACACACCCTACATACAATAGAGTCAGTAGTGTCTACTACACACCCTACATACAATAGTCAGTAGTATCTACTACACACCCTACATACAATAGTCAGTAGTATCTACTACACACCCTACATACAATAGAGTTAGTAGTATCTACTACACACCCTGCATACAATAGAGTTAGTAGTATCTACTACACACCCTACATACAATAGAGTTAGTAGTGTCTACTACACACCCTACATACAATAGAGTCAGTAGTATCTACTACACACCCTACATACAATAGAGGCAGTAGTATCTACTACACACCCTACATACAATAGAGTTAGTAGCATCTACTACATACCCTACATACAATATAGTCAGTAGTATCTACTACTCACCCTACATACAGTAGAGTTAGTAGTGTCTACTACACACCCTACACACTATAGAGTCAGTATTGTCTGTAGACATTTGGCGGTGGTCGCGGCGCTGAGCAGCCTTCCGCAGAAGCTTCCCATCAAGGCGGCCATAGGCTGCCGACATTCTAGTGACGTCAACGGTGTGCCTTCATTTCTTTGTGAATTTGCATCAAGACCTGGCGTTTTGCAGGTCATGTGACTCCGGAGTCTGCACTGCGGTATAGTTATCGCGTAGACTGCATTCCTCGTGGTGTTACAGATGCATTTGAATTCTTTATGCCACTTTTAGGGGAGGGATTTCTCTGAAATAGAGATAAAGAAAGTTTTCTCGTAGGGCCTCCACCAATTTTGCTGGCACCACAAAGCACAACTGATGACGTAAGAGATCATTCGATGTTGTCTAGAGTGGATAAGAGTTGGAGGCACTACCTCGCCGGCATGAAGAAGGGACATTGTCCAAAACGTCGCCTACTATAAACGTTTCCAATGAAGGCCACTGCACAGTGTTGTGGACAAAGGTTCTGGGTCTTTTTGTTATTTTGTTTTGGGCACCACTGCCAATGCAGTAGCATCACACAATACTTGGCTTTTTTTTCTTCATATGAATCATTCTCATTTGTCTACAGAAATAGGACATTTTCAGGACCCCTTCCTGATCCGTTAAATGTTTAGCCAGTCCTTTTCGAAAACTGCATGTGAGGAACCCGAGATACCCACAAAAACCCATGCTTAAAAGAGGATGACACCACCACCACCACACACACACAGCCTGTAGTCACGTTTAAAAAACTCTCCTGATTCCCTACTGGAACCGTTTTTTTAGCGCATGGTGCCAGGAAATTATTCTCAAAACAAAGAAACAATTATAATTCACATCCCTGTATATGATGCACCAGCCAGACCTGTGCAATTCCACATTTGAGACGTACACCACCACCAACACACTCGGACATGTATGGTGCAGCACTCATCTTTGTCAACAGGAAGCTACATACCCAGAATAATGGAGGCCAGCAATATATGTAGGCAGAACGTCATGTCTCGCGATGAAATCCAAAGTAAAGAGTGACGCTGTTAAGACACAGACACACACGACCACAATTACTGAGGAACACACAGGGCAGAGAGGATTTCAACAAGACACGGCCATGGAATGCCGCTCACAGAGACAATAAACTTGTAAACTGGGATTGTTTCCAGATGCTGCCGTGGTGTGATGCTTTGCGCACTGGACTTGCAACTCAGAGGCCGCAGTTCAATCTCCCGCGGTGCAAGTTTCTTCAAGCCTCTGTCCGCCTAGCAGTTATAAATGGGAACGCCACAATTAATCGATCGGTAGGTCGCATGTAGTGGGGTAAAGCATGGGTAGGTTAGCATGGAAGAATAGGCCACATATCCTCAAGAGGGGGCTGTCTAGAGGAGGCCCTTCTGCCAGAAGTGACTTGACCCAGTGATGTTGAGACAACTTTAAGCTCACGGGCTCACCAAATGGCTCGCAGGCTCTGACATTCGACACCAGGCTACTTACCGAGTGTGCCTCCTTAAACGGAATACCGTTTTCTGAAGGCGCATGATGAAGTTAAGCTGGCTCAAACTGAATGGTAACATTCTCTGTATTAAGTATGTTGTTGATTTTAACCACAGTGAAAACACCCTTCGGGACCTGTCTCATGAGTTAATAACTAAAATAGATATAACGACAGATTAAATATATTAACAAATTAACTGCTGGCCGGAATTAAATCAAATGTCAATGATAACTTCGACCAGGGCTAGCAAACAACACTAGCGAGTAAAACATTGGCCAAGTGTCCTGTCGCCTCCCACACCTCCATTCACAACTACGCACGTAGCACCTTAACATTGTATTACACATCGGGATTAAATGAGGCATCTGCAGTGAGCAGATGAACAATCATTGCCCGTGTCGTCGGTCTCTGAGATCCGGCGACCCAATGGATGATGGCAGCGGCATAAGTGAGGGCTGCATCCCACGCCTAGAGCGTGATACAGCAGCAGCAGCATCATTTCCAACATCACATTCTACTTGGCATCGTCTCGCACAGGCAGAAACAGCGCGCCCAACAACTTCACCATTGTCACACACGATTCAACATATCGTAGGCGACGTTTCGGGCAATGGGCCATCTATCGTGGCCGCGAGGCGACGGGCGTGCATTACCCGTGGCTGATCCACCGCGGGACGCGTCGTTTGGCTGCGCGTGGGATCGAAGAACGCGCAGAGGAGGAGGAGGCGGCAGCTGTCAGTGGCCGCCGAGCAGAACGAACTCTTCATTCACGCGGCAGGCGTTGGGGTGGGGGGTTGCCGGGTTATCGTCGTAGCAAAAGTAGCTGCTACATATGTAGTAGCTCCATATGTAGTAGCTACTGCACATGTGTAATAGCTACTACACATGTAGTAGTAGCTACTACACATGTGTAGTAGCTATTACACATGTGTAGTAGCTACTACACATGTGTAATAGTTACTACACATGTGTAGTAGTAGCTGCTACTACATATGTAGTAGCAGCTACTACATATGTACACGTGTAATAGCTGCTACATATGTAGTAGCTACACATGTGTAGTAGCTACACATGTGTAGTAGCTACACATGTGTAGTAGCTACACATGTAGTAGTAGCTACACATGTAGTAGTAGTAGTAGCTACTACATATGTAGCTACTACACGTGTAGTAGCTATTACACGTGTAGTAGCTACGCATGTAGTAGCTACACATGTAGTAGCTACGGGCCCCGCACTTTCAAGGGCCCCGCGCTAAATGCTTGGAAGCTATCAATTCCGGCTCAGTGATTCTGCACGTGCTCTATCACTATAGTACTATACCGCCTTAGACTTTTACGAACGACTGGGTGGTTAAGGTTAGCGATTTGTCGTATCATACGGTTGTATAGCAAATGAAAAAATACAATTATTACTTTACTGTGCAAGTAAAACATTGGTATTTTAATATTAATATATTTAATTTAGGGTCTCTTTATAAGAACATATGCTACAGGCCCCGCACCTAGCTTCATCCTTGCAATTCGCGCGACTCGCTTTGTTGGTCTCGACTAGGAGGGGGTGGACAACCTGGGGCTCCAGAACCACATGCGGACTGTCTTGTGACGCTATTGGATTAAGAACCACCACCGTCTCGCATGCACACACACACACAGACGCGTACATGTTGCGGCTCTTGAAATATTTTGAGTTTTTAAATGAGAATTTGGGAAACAAAAAAATACCTCTCCTCGTTATTCTCGTTGCCTTGGTCTCGACTGATCCCCGTGGCCTCGGCTCGCTCATCGTGCCGCCTCTGCGTGCCGTCGTTTTGTTGATGAGCATCTCTTCCCTAGAACCCAAGCACAAGTCCACCCCGCCCACCCAATCCGCTCGCCCCTTAAACAATCCGTCCCCTACAGCGGTGACAGAAAACGCTTACCTGGATCACCCACCACCCACAAAACGTGGAGGGAACCGAACAGCAGAAGAAGGATTCGTCACGCGTGGGTCCCAGGAGAACCAAGCTCTGTCTTTATAACATCCTAGCTCAAGTGTGTCGTGTCTTTATAACATCCTAGCTCAAGTGTCTCGTGTCTTTATAACATCCTAGCTCAAGTGTCTGGAGTCTTTATAACATCCTAGCTCAAGCGTTTGGAGTCTTTATAACATCCTAGCTCAAGCGTCTGGAGTCTTTATAACATCCTAGCTCAAGCGTCTCGAGTCTTTATAACATCCTAGCTCAAGCGTCTGGAGTCTTTATAACATCCTAGCTCAAGCGTTTGGAGTCTTTATAACATCCTAGCTCAAGCGTCTGGAGTCTTTATAACATCCTAGCTCAAGTGTATCGTGTCTTTATAACATCCTAGCTCAAGTGTCTCGAGTCTTTATAACATCCTAGCTCAAGCGTCTGGAGTCTTTATAACATCCTAGCTCCAGTGTCTGAAGTCTTTATAACATTCTAGCTCAAGCGTCTCAAGTCTTTATAACATCCTAGCTCAAGCGTCTGGAGCCTTTATAACATCCTAGCTCAAGTGTCTCGAGTCTTTATAACATCCTAGCTCAAGCGTCTGGAGTCTTTATAACATCCTAGCTCAAGTGGCTCGAGTCTTTATGACATCCTAGCTCAAGCGTCTGGAGTCTTTATAACATCCTAGCTCAAGTGTCTCGAGTCTTTATAACATCCTAGCTCAAGCGTCTGGAGTCTTTATAACATCCTAGCTCAAGCGTCTGGAGTCTTTATAACATCCTAGCTCAAGTGTCTTGAGTCTTTATAACATCCTAGCTCAAGCGTCTGGAGTCTTTATAACATCCTAGCACAAGCGTCTGGAGTCTTTATAACATCCTAGCTCAAGTGTCTCGAGTCTTTATAACATCCTAGCTCAAGCGTCTGGAGTCTTTATAACATCCTAGCACAAGCGTCTGGAGTCTTTATAACATCCTAGCTCAAGTGTCTGGAGTCTTTATAACATCCTAGCTTAAGCGTCTGGAGTCTTTATAACATCCTAGCTCAAGTATCTGGAGTCTTTATAACATCCTAGCTCAAGTGTCTCGAGTCTTTAAAACATCCTAGCTCAAGCGTCTGGAGTCTTTATAACATCCTAGCTCAAGTGTCTGGAGTCTTTATAACATCCTAGCTCAAGTGTCTGGAGTCTTTATAACATCCTAGCTCAAGCGTCTGGAGTCTTTATAACATCCTAGCTCAAGCGTCTCGAGTCTTTATAACATCCTAGCTCAAGTGTCTGGAGTCTTTATAACATCCTAGCTTAAGCGTCTGGAGTCTTTATAACATCCTAGCTCAAGTATCTGGAGTCTTTATAACATCCTAGCTCAAGTGTCTCGAGTCTTTAAAACATCCTAGCTCAAGCGTCTGGAGTCTTTATAACATCCTAGCTCAAGTGTCTGGAGTCTTTATAACATCCTAGCTCAAGCGTCTGGAGTCTTTATAACATCCGTTCTCGAGGCTCATGCTCAGCGATTTCGCCCGTTTAAGCCTCCTCCTGCTCCTCCTCCTCCCCGTGCATATGTGTAACACATGTCGTGTGCGAGATTCCCCCTCCACTCACTGAGAATCCGCACCCCCTCCCCACCATGAGTTCACTGGAGGAGAGAGAGAAAGAGAGAGACAGAGGAAAAAAATGCAGCGCGTTCAGGAAAACTATTGCAAACGGATGCTGAGATATAAAAGTTACACACACCAACAACAGCCAGCCATTCGCCAATACGCGGCGTGGACGTCACCACCGCGCTTGTGCCAGGCTAGGTGCAATGTTGAGGCCACGTGGAGTGTCGGAAGGCTCGCCGCTGACAGGAGGTCACGGTAGAGACCCCAGGTGTCGTGCGTTAACTGACTGAGATGATTTGACAGACGCACCCAGCTGTGCTCCCCACTGTGCCAACCCACCGAGCGTCGCTCCTCTGCCCTCCGTTGCTGTTGGAGGGCGACTTGACACCGCTGGTACCAGTCTTCGGCAAGTCCACTCGGCTCCACGTGCTCCTGTACCACATCACTCCATCTCTTCTCTAGCCCGTGCCGCGCCCGTTTAGCCCCCTCGATCCGGCCGAACAAAATCTGTTTGGGCATGCGGTGGCTGGGCATGCGGGCTACGTGACTCAGCCACCGCAGCCTTGCCTGCCGGATTGTATCACCGATGCGTCTACGTCCAAATCTCTCGCAAATCTGCGAGCTCATCACACGACACAGCCTAGTTAAACCCAGAATAGATTTTAGGCAGGCCCAGCCTGAACGCTGCAAACCGGCGCAGATGTTCCTTCAGATGGGTCCACGTTTATCAAGCACAGAGAGGGAGGGTTGGACTGTGGCCGAGAAGACCCGGAGCTTCGAATGGAGCGACAGGCCAGGTAGCTTCCACTCGACGTTACGCAGCTGATGAAAAGACAATGCAGGCTCGACTGATTTGGAATGAGACGTCTGCTGCCAAATCCAAACTAGTCATAAGCACACTGTCCAGGTACGAGAACACCTCCACTCTCTCTTACAACTGCCCCATCACTCATGGGGAGTTGAGGGGGCGGAGTGTTTTATTACACAACATACCCTGACAGATGCTTTGTCTTTTTGTGGGGCTGATGGTCTCAGACTTTGGATCACCCTCGGTAGTTGATGCCATCAACAAATGGCACAGCAGCCAGCCACTCGCACGGGGGAGCTACTTATTCCAATATTTGAGGCACCGTAGACCCGACAGGGTCATCACCACCTTCTTCCATGATGCTCAGCAAACCTGCAGACCTGTTCCTGGGAGTCGAAGATCGCATCACCATTCTTTCCCTTAAGGATGGTAATAGGTGTGGTGCTGAAAGCGACTTTTATTATGGAATTAAAGATTTGTCATCGCGAGCCACTGATGCATTTTCCATCTCCTCAGCATTCGTGTTGAGGCTGTGAGCTCGTGTTGAGGCTGTGTGTCAGTGTTGAGACTGTGTGTCAGTGTTGAGACTGTGTGTCAGTGTCAGGCTGTGTCAGTGTTGAGGCTGTGTCAGTGTTGAGGCTGTGTCAGTGTTGAGGTTGTGTGTCAGCATTGAGGCTGTGTGTCAGTGTTGAGACTGTTTGTCAGTGTTGAGACTGTGTGTCAGTGTTGAGACTGTGTGTCAGTGTTGAGACTGTGTCAGTGTTGAGACTGTGTGTCAGTGTTGAGGCTGTGCCAGTGTTGAGACTGTGTCAGTGTTGAAGCTGTGTGTCAGTGTTGAGACTGTGTGTCAGTGTTGAGACTGTGTCTCAGTGTTGAGGCTGTGTGTCAGTGTTGAGACTGTGTCAGTGTTGAGGCTGTGTGTCAGTGTGAGACTGTGTGTCAGTGTTGAGACTGTGTGTCAGTGTTGAGGCTGTGTGTCAGTGTTGAAGCTGTGTGTCAGTGTTGAAGCTGTGTGTCAGTGTTGAGACTGTGTCAGTGTTGAGACTGTGTGTCAGTGTTGAGGATGTGTGTCAGTGTTGAGACTGTGTGTCAGTGTTGAGTCTGTGTGTCAGTGTCAGGCTGTGTGTCAGTGTTGAGACTGTGTGTCAGTGTTGAGGCTGTGTCAGTGTTGAGACTGTGTGTCAGTGTTGAGACTGTGTCAGTGTTGAGACTGTGTGTCAGTGTTGAGGCTGTGTCAGTGTTGAGACTGTGTGTCAGTGTTGAGACTGTGTCAGTGTTGAGACTGTGTGTCAGTGTCAGGCTGTGTGTCAGTGTAGAGGCTGTGTGTCAGTGTTGAGACTGTGTGTCAGTGTTGAGACTGTGTCAGTGTTGAGGTTGTGTCAGTGTTGAGGCTGTGTCAGTGTTGAGACTGTGTGTCAGTGTTGAGACTGTGTGTCAGTGTTGAGGTTGTGTGTCAGTATTGAGACTGTGTCAGTGTTGAGGTTGTGTCAGTGTTGAGGCTGTGTGTCAGTGTTGAGACTGTGTGTCAGTGTTGAGACTGTGTGTCAGTGTTGAGACTGTGTCAGTGTTGAGGTTGTGTCAGTGTTGAGGCTGTGTCAGTGTTGAGACTGTGTCAGTGTTGAGACTGTGTCAGTGTTGAGACTGTGTCAGTGTTGAGACTGTGTGTCAGTGTTGAGGTTGTGTGTCAGTGTTGGGACTGTGTGTCAGTGTTGAGACTGTGTGTCAGTGTTGAGACTGTGTGTCAGTGTTGAGACTGTGTGTCAGTGTTGAGACTGTGTGTCAGTGTTGAGACTGTGTATCAGTGTTGAGACTGTGTGTCAGTGTTGAGACTGTGTGTCAGTGTTGAGACTGTGTGTCAGTGTTGAGACTGTGTCAGTGTTGAGGCTGTGTCAGTGTTGAGGCTGTGTGTCAGTGTTGTGGCTGTGTGGCTGTGTGTCAGTATTGAGGCTGTGTCAGTGTTGAGACTGTGTGTCAGTGTTGAGGCTGTGTCAGTGTTGAGACTGTGTGTCAGTGTTGAGGCTGTGCCAGTGTTGAGGCTGTGTCAGTGTTGAGGCTGTGTGTCAGTGTTGAGACTGTGTCAGTGTTGAGGCTGTGTCAGTGTTGAGGTTGTGTGTCAGTGTTGAGACTGTGTGTCAGTGTTGAGGCTGTGTGTCAGTGTTGAGGTTGTGTCAGTGTTGAGGCTGTGTGTCAGTGTTGAGACTGTGTGTCAGTGTTGAGGTTGTGTCAGTGTTGAGGCTGTGTGTCAGTGTTGAGACTGTGTCAGTGTTGAGACTGTGTCAGTGTTGAGGCTGTGTGTCAGTGTTGAGGCTGTGTGTCAGTGTTGGGACTGTGTGTCAGTGTTGAGACTGTGTGTCAGTGTTGAGACTGTGTGTCAGTGTTGAGGCTGTGTGTCAGTGTTGAGGCTGTGTGTCAGTGTTGAGACTGTGTCAGTGTTGAGGCTCTGTGTCAGTATTGAGACTGTGTCAGTGTTGAAGCTGTGTGTCAGCGTTGAGGCTGTGTGTCAGTGTTGTGGCTGTGTGGCTGTGTGTCAGTATTGAGGCTGTGTCAGTGTTGAGACTGTGTGTCAGTGTTGAGGCTGTGTCAGTGTTGAGACTGTGTGTCAGTGTTGAGGCTGTGTCAGTGTTGAGGCTGTGTCAGTGTTGAGACTGTGTCAGTGTTGAGGCTGTGTCAGTGTTGAGACTGTGTGTCAGTGTTGAAGCTGTGTCAGTGTTGAGACTGTGTCAGTGTTGAGACTGTGTGTCAGTGTTGAGACTGTGTCAGTGTTGAGACTGTGTGTCAGTGTTGAGACTGTGTGTCAGTGTTGAGACTGTGTGTCAGTGTTGAGACTGTGAGTCAGTGTTGAGGCTGTGTGTCAGTGTTCAGACTGTGTGTCAGTGTTGAGACTGTGGGTCAGTGTTGAGGCTGTGTGTCAGTGTTGAGACTGTGTGTCAGTGTTCAGACTGTGAGTCAGTGTTGAGACTGTGTGTCAGTGTTCAGACTGTGTGTCAGTGTTGAGACTGTGGGTCAGTGTTGAGGCTGTGTGTCAGTGTTGAGACTGTGTGTCAGTGTCAGGCTGTGTGTCAGTGTTGTGGCTGTGTGTCAGTGTTGAGGCTGTGTGTCAGTGTTGAGGCTGTGTCAGTGTTGAGACTGTGTGCCAGTGTTGAGACTGTGTGTCAGTGTTGAGGCTCTGTGTCAGTGTTGAGACTGTGTGTCAGTGTTGAGACTGTGTGTCAGTGTTGAGGCTGTGTGTCAGTGTTGAGTCTGTGTGTCAGTGTTGAGACTGTGTGTCAGTGTTGAGACTGTGTGTCAGTGTTGAGACTGTGTGCCAGTGTTGAGACTGTGTGTCAGTGTTGAGTCTGTGGGTCAGTGTTGAGACTGTGTGTCAGTGTTGAGGCTGTGTGTCAGTGTTGAGACCGTGTCAGTGTTGAGACTGTGTGTCAGTGTTGAGGCTGTGTGTCAGTGTTGAGACTGTGTCACTGTTGAGACTGTGTGTCAGTGTTGAGACTGTGTCAGTGTTGAGGCTGTGTGTCAGTGTTGAGGCTGTGTGTCAGTGTTGAGGCTGTGTGTCAGTGTTGAGACTGTGTGTCAGTGTTGAGACTGTGTGTCAGTGTTGAGGCTGTGTGTCAGTGTTGAGGCTGTGTGTCAGTGTTGAGGCTGTGTGTCAGTGTTGAGGCTTTGTGTCAGTGTTGAGGCTGTGTGTCAGTGTTGAGACTGTGTGTCAGTGTTGAGACTGTGTGCCAGTGTTGAGACTGTGTGTCAGTGTTGAGACTGTGTCAGTGTTGAGACTGTGTGTCAGTGTTGAGGCTGTGTGTCAGTGTTGAGTCTGTGTGTTAGTGTTGAGACTGTGTGTCAGTGTTGAGACTGTGTGTCAGTGTTGAGACTGTGTGTCAGTGTTGAGACTGTGTGTCAGTGTTGAGGCTGTGTGTCAGTGTTGAGACTGTGTCAGTGTTGAGACTGTGTGTCAGTGTTGAGACTGTGTGTCAGTGTTGAGACTGTGTGTCAGTGTTGAGACTGTGTGTCAGTGTCTATGCGATTCGGGAGAGATTGGTGTCTTTGAGGTTGTTCTTGTTTCCCCATGGCGTTGCAGGAATGTTCTTCTGCGTGTGTGTGAAGTCTCATCCCACTTAGGGCAAGCAGAGGGAGTTAGGCATTGCTCTTTGGGTACA